CACTGTAAAATATTTTAGTTATGTCATTAAAGACCAAATATATTCAAAGCTCATTTATGCATTTTTGTTAGACAGTAAATGAGACTGGTGTAATTTTTTTTTTTTAAATTTCGTGTCAAAAACTACAAAATTTGTTAGCTAAATTAAAAAAAAAAAAACTGCAATTAAAAGAAAGATACATTTTCCCCCATGAGGCTGTTGATGATTTTACACATTGCCAGTCATTCAGTGATGAGGATCACAAGACAAATCAACATAAACAGGTGAGTCTAGCTAATTTACTTCAACTTTAATAGGTTTCTGACACATGAAGATTTCTACCGTTAATACTGTGCTGAAGGACTGTTTTTATTTTTTTTAGGCAGTATAGCATTTAGAAATTGACAGTGATGTACTATTTTGAATAATAATATGGGTTTGGATAAAGGTAACAGGGTTGATGTTTACAGGGTTGATAGTTGCAGATCTGGTAGACAGTCAAAGGTCATGAGAATCGACTTTTCAGTAACCAGACTGAAAAAAGTGGTCAGGGGGTTGAAGTATTCAAATCGGCTCATACTGGGAAAGAGGTCAATTGTATTTTTAAAGATGATGTTGTTGCCATATTGGCCAATTGTTACGCTCCATATTACGTCAATTCAATAAAGATTTGTGGCTGCAACAGGGTTGAAGTGTATCATTCATGTAAACATCAAATTAAATCTAAAAACGCATTAAGAATAAAAGCTTAATACTGGCTTTGACTCAAACATGTATTTGATATTAGCCCACCAGAAATCTCACAGCAATTCGTAACTAACGTGACTAATTTGATGAAATCGTATTATCTCATTCGTACAATTTAATATTATTTGCTTATCCCTCAATGACAGTTGAGTTTAGGGGTGGAGTCTAGTGCCACGCCTCCTTTTAAAATTTGTACATTTTTGTTCAACTGAACTCTTAGAAATTCATACGAATTAACCACTAAACTGAATATATTCAGTTAAAATATATTTTATAAAATATATTTACGTTTCTTCGTGAGATCAATCTGGTTGAAACGTCTTGGACAAAAACAGACCAATAAAAATATCTATTAAACATCTAACTATAGTCCAAAAATACTCAATCAACTGTCTGTTTGATTTGGACTATTGATTTAGCCAAGATGTTTATTTTTGGATGTCTTTTGGATGTCTTTTTTAACAAACAAAAAATGCTTGCTGGGTATTGAGTGAATAAAAGTTGAGAGTTAATGATAAAGTTGTGTATTAAGTTAAAATTTGACACATTTAGTGCAGTTTTATTGTTGCTTTGGTTAAATAGTTCATTTGAAGCATCGACCGTCTAATATATTTACATTTCTGAAATAATTTATCATTATTAATAAACTGTAATGTTTGTACTTTTATTTTTACAGGTCTGTCAGATGCCAGTCCGAGGAGCATAGAAAATAACCAGTGTACAGGTGCGTTAAATGACAATTATCTGAGCATTCATACTGTAAATGTTTACCTTTTAGCAAGTGTAATTCTTATAAAAATTAACCATGGTTATTTATTTTGGCATATTATTTAACATTCGTAATTGCTCACAACCACAGCTTTCCAATACCATGGTCGGTGTAGCAAAATCACGGTTCATTTGTGATTATTAACAAAATAAGTCGTCTTATTTTTAATTTATTTTTTTATAATAGAACCATGTTTCATTTTTTATAAGGATGGTGCGAGTAAATTTACCTGTGCTCTTGCAGCAGTGGAGAAGGCTCTTCTCGAGTCTCAAGGAGAAATGGAGTGGAAAATCAACCGCCTGACCACATTAGTTCAATATCTTGTTGGAAACACGGTCCAGCCAGAAGAAGAGGAAAACGACTGCATCTTGCCTGTGACGTCAATGGAGGATCTGGACTTGCTGGAGCAAAGACTTGTGGACAGAGGGGTGATGCAAAGATTGGTGAGTTTATGTAATTAAGCAACAGACCGACATTCTACAAAAAAAGTTGTTTATGATCTGTATTTCTGTTTTTAGGTGAACAGATTGTCTGTTAGCGGAGGTCAAACCATGAAGAAGACCATAGGGAGAATTTGCAACAAGGTCTTAGCATTAAACGTGGCCAAACAGCTCAACTGGTGCGGACGAGGGGACAAACGAGGCTTGAGAAAAACAAATATTGGAGCTGTAATAATAGGTATGTCCGAATCAACATCTTTATTTAAGAATCGAACCGTGGCTCACTGGATTTTTATAATTGTGTATAGACTACTCCATAATATCAGATTGATCAATGATATGTTGGTTTGTTTAAATGTTAAACTCAATTTTTTTTGGTTTGAACCCACAGCTGCAGCGATGAGGAACAGTGTTCTCCAGAGTCCCACAGAAGCAGAAGCAGAGAAATATATTAAAGATTACCTGCGTTTGGCTCCAGGAAGGATGTCTTCTTAATCTGCTGTCAAAAAAGTTACCCGTTTTTGTCCACGTCGTTTGTACAAGAAAATAAAAACAATGTTGTATCCTATTTCATACATGTAAATCGATTAAATACCTGAGCTGTTGTTCAGACATGTTTGAGAGTAGCTGATTAGGGTTGTTTGCGATTGCAAAGTCTATCGTTATTTATTACATTATTTATATAGTAGCACTTACTCAGAATCTGTGTTTAAAAAAAGTCTAATGGATGTCCAGACATAGATGGCTAAATCCGGGCTGCCAATGAACATCTAATAAATGTCTAACAGTAATTTAGCCAAGACGTCTACATTTGGATGTCTATTAGATGTCTTTTTTTTAACACAAAATAGCTTGTTGGGCTTTAAAAAGAATAAGGGATTTTATTTAATTTCAATAATTTTTAAATGTCTAAATAATTATTGCTTCCAAATGGATGAACCCCAGTGGTTTGAAGGATCAATTATAAAGATTTAAAGTGACCATTTGGTTGCACTGTGATATTTAAATAGAGTGTTTTAATAGGTCAACAACTGTTTGTTTATCTAAAAATGCCTCAATATTATTTTGTTACACTTTTACTGTGTGTCTTCTGTAGGTCATGGTATAAATGCATGATATTCACTATTTTTTGTTCACAAAACCAAAATAAAATTGAAGGAAACACATTCTGTGCATTTGTATTGGTTTGAGGTTTGATGAAAACGAGTTTCTTCTGTTGAATATTCTGAAGAATCATAGTTGACTTCCATAGTATTAGGAAAAATTACTCGAAGTAATTGGTTGCCAGCAACCCACATTTTCAAAATATTGTATTTTGTGTTGAACAGAAGAAATAAACTGAAATGGATTTTGATCTCTTTAATGTGTTTGGAATTAGGTTAGCGTGTGAAGCCAAACGCTAACCAAATAATTTGATTGCTTTGTATCAGAAACTTGCTGAGCAAACATTGATAAGATGTAAGAGGTTACGGTTATCAAGAAACTGACAGGATGTGAGGTTACAGTAAGCAGTCAAAACAGTTTTTGAGAGAAAAAAAAGCTGACACGTGAAACACTAGAAACCATTGTTTTGACCACACGTAGAAGATGTGTAATACATGGAATCGCGATTTATCAGCCAGTTCTTGAGATTCACTTGAAATCTTTAATGTGATCTTTCGTGCCACCCTGCGACTTAACTAAAAAGAAGCAGCTTAAACAAAATTCCAGTGCATCTCGTCAAATTCAGTTCAATTCATCTTTCTTTCTATAGCACTTTTACAATGTAGATTGTGTCAAAGCAGCTTAACGTAGAAGTTGTAGTAAATTGAAATTAGGTCAGTCCAGTTTTCAGAGTTGAAGTTCAGTTTAGTTCTGTTGTGTAATTTAAATTTAACAGCTGAAAGTCCAAACACTGAAGAGCAAATCCAATGATGTGTCCCAAACCAAGCAAGCCAGTGGCAAGGCACAAACTTCACTAATTTATGAAAGTAAAGAAAAAAAAAACAGACTCAGTTGTGCAAGACCAGTTGTCTTCTGGGCCTGTTTTTTTTTTTTTTTTTTCTCCCAGGTGTATTTAATGAGTTTCAGTTTGGTCAAACATTGAAGTGCTTCAAATACACTTTTAAATAATGGTCCATTAATTAATCTAAGTTAATATATTCACTAACATGAACAATACAGTATTCTTCTCTGTTAACATTACTGAAAATAAAGTTAATTGTTAGTTCATTAACTCATTGCATTGTGTTAACAAGCACAAACTCATGACAATTTCAGTTATGCATCAATAAATGATGAACTATAATTAATAAATGTTACACAAGATTATTGTATTACCTCATGTTAGTAAACACATTAACTAAAGTTAATGGATTATTATTTAAAGTATTACCAATAATTCTTTTAGAAAAATAAATATTTTCAATTGAAAGGTTCTTTGGGGAACCAAAATGGTTCTTCTATAACAGGGGAGACCAACCCTGTTCCTATTGACCTTATTCTCCTATGCGGAAGTGTGTTTTTGCGATTCAGTCGCCTATGGGAGAAATGACTAGGAATAATAAAAACCGCAGAAATGGTCAAACTACTTGCTCTACAAACAAGTGTTTGCATGATTATACAGACAAAGCAGAATAATATAATAACAAAATATCAAGTTGCAACATCAGGCAGCAAAACAAGCTGTTTTTAACGTCTAAATATGAATGGAAGGGAATGAGACCAGAAGTCTTGACCCAAAAAGGCTGCACCCTCTTATACATGAAGAATAAGGTAAATAGATCTACTTTCCTGCAAATTTCAGTTGCAACCCGTATCAAACACACCTGCCTTTAATTATCAAGTGCTTTTCAGATTCTAATTAATTGGTTCAGGTGTGTTTGAGCAGAGTTGGAGCTGAACTCTGCAGGAGGGTAGATGTTCAGGAACAGGGTCGAGCTCCCCTGTTCTATGGCATCACTGCAAAATCCCATTTGATCTTTTAACAATTATACTTATAGACTGCCATTGTTTGCAAAAGTGGCTAAAAATTAAATATTAAAAAATGTATTTATTAAATGTCTTTCCTCTGTGCCTGTATTCAGATGAGGAATCTCAGCTGTCTGTGACAGGGGTCCAAAAGCAGGTACGTCCGAGACGCAAGGACCTGAACCTGTATGAAGAGTACAAACGCAGCCGAACTCTGAGAGGCCGGAACACAAACAGAGGACGCACTACAAACCGGCGACGCGAGCTGGAGCAGACTCTACCGCAGGCTCTACTGGCCGACCTGGTGAGAGAACGAAGGGAAAAAACCCGTCTTCGAGTAGCCCGCTGGCGTGCCAAACGCAAATTGCAAGCCTGTCTGATGGCCTCGCAGGCTGCTCAGTTTAATGGCACCTCTGGACAGAGTTCGCCAGCCCAGCGCGGAGGCCTGATCTCCTGCCGCAGGAGAGGAGGAGGGGTAGCACAGCGCGGTGGGCTTGGGTTGAGAAGAGGACTGGCAGAAACTGGCACATATAACCTGCTGCTGCAGCTGGGGCCCAGTTCTGCCCAGTCGGTACCGCCACGCAGCATCAATGAGGGGGTCATGCAGACCGCTTCATCAGTGATGGCACCACACAGAACTACTGTAGCTAGATCACCTTACCAATAATTCACTGGAAGAAACACACTAATAAACATAATGTCATTCTGATTTTGACACAATCTGTTTGGCAGTGTCTTGGCGATTTGGAAACAGGAATGGGAGTGGAGAAATAAGATTAAGTCTATTTTAAAATTTGTGTAATAGTGCATGACAGCAATCATGTCCGAGATGCTTCTTGACTGTGGAAGGCTGATGGTGCCAAAATGTATGATGTAGTTCAACATGTAATTGCATGTTAATCTGAAAAAAGGTGTCATGGTGATTTGAAAACACAATTAGCATTGAGAGACTAGATTTAATCATTTATCTAAAAAAAATTGTGTCAGAGTACATACCAATTAAAATGGTCTCTATGATGCTTCATTACTGTGGAAAGCCATAATTGGCAAATTCCATTTTAAAGCCGAGGTCACACAGTGCTGCGAAAAAGGGTGGGATAAACAAGATGATTAGACATTAATAAAGCAAACAACTGCTCCATATTTTACATTTCTGTCCTGAGGTCAAGTTTTGATCTTCAATTGGTCTCACACAATCACGTGATGCTATTTTTGCTGGTCAGAGTTCATCAAGCTTAAACTTTGCAATGCAGAGCAAGTGTTTCAGGTTTGCCGCATTCATATGCATATAAATGGAAGTCTATGGGGCGAAATGTGCAGTGTGACCGCAGCTTTATACACAATTACAGGTTTAGGCTATATACTAGAGCTGCACAATTAATCGAAAAAATATTGTGATCTCGATTCGGCCCCCTAGACGATCTTAATCCAGCATTTCTACGATTCTGTCAATCATATTTTCAAGTTCAGGAGGGAGGCAAAGGCGGCCGCACAAGTCTTCACAATGTTTTACGTACAATGTTCAGCAATGTGGACATCTCCAAATGGTGTTGAAAGAGTCACATGCTGTATTTATAATATATAATTCACATTAAAAATGTAATTTCTGTCTTTATGTAATTTTGTATTCACGGCCGCAAAATCACACGTGACGAGAGCTGACCGTCAGCTGTCACCACAGGGCGGGCACACGCCTGCTAGTGAAGTCTACTATAGCGGACAGAACCTCCATAGGCTGTGAATAACAGGTAATACAGTTGTAAATAACATTCAGTTTGTGGCACAGAGTGATCGTTTGGGAGCCACGCGGGAACCACAACAAAACCAAAAATATTTAAAGTCCGTTCAAGTCTACCATTCCAAGTCTATACAACATTTAGCATTTTAACCAACAGTAGACCTACACAAAGCCTATGGCTGTTTTACCATATGTTTGAGAAATAACAACAATAATAGCATACTCGAATTACCCTTTATTTTACATGTATAGAATTGCAAGAAAATCAAGATCTTTATTTTAGGCAAAAATAAATAAATAAATAAATATCGCAATTCTCATTTTAGCCAGAATCGTGCAGCTCTACTATATACTATCAGCTCGATTATGACATCTGTTTAAAACAGGGTGTCATCGTGATTAGAAGTCGCAACTGGTGTCGAAACGCAAGATTAAAATAATTTTAGCTCACACTTTGTCTCATGGCAGACGACAACTAACAAACCAAAGGACCAAAAACATGATGATTACATATTAACACAACACAATTATGTATTACGCCTTAATTTGACATGTTTTGGCCCCAATGGCCTTCCATACACAATGTCCCCAAAAAAAAGACACTTTCTAAAAACCTTAATCTTGTAAACCATTCATGTAATCATACTATTTAAAAACGTTCATCATGTTGATTTAACTGATAGCTTTCTGGGGTCATTACATTTAGCATTTTATGTGACATTAGAATAATTAAATCCCCCAATAAACTGACCCCATTATGAAATAGACACAAAAGAACATAAATATTTCTCAAGGATATTGTGGTTGTCTGTGTTCTGCACTCAGCGGAAACAATGTCCTAGAAAATAACGTCAGGCCAAATGTCCTAGTTAAGTTGGATAGCTTGTTTGATTATTTTTTTTTTAAAGGAGTTTTTTTATTTTTAATATTTTTACCATTGTGGTCTATTATATTTCTAGGAAATATTGTTGTTGGGTATAAATGCCAGAGTGACATTTGTAAAAAGGAAAAAAAATGAATGCTATTGCTTTCTAAATGAGCACACGGTGCAAATGTGCTGTATAAGCAGATTAATGTGTTAGATTTTGAGCAGCTATGCGGTTTAACAGACTATGTAAAAAGTGGTGAATGCTGTTCATAGTTTCTGGAAATGAGTCTCTGTTTTGGCAACTGATGTTATGAGATGTTTTGGTAAGAAATGGTGTGGAATGTTTTACCTACAAATTAAAGTGGAAAAACTAAGACCTAGAGTTGAATCAGTTTTGGTATTGGTTCAGTTATAGCTTATTGTCACTTTTTTTTTTAAACCACTGTGTCTTAAAGTGCAAATACAGTATTGTGAACATTCATTTCTTAATTTAGGACCTTCATCAACATCATGTAACTGAAGTACTACAGTACATTATCTTCCTAAAAAGAACTTAAAGCTACATATCTTTATTGGAGAACACAAATGCTACAGTTTATAAAGTACTCAGCAAAGTGACTTTTCAGTGGCTGTAACTCCTACTACATACCAATTTAAGGCAATACACAATAAGGACTACAAAGAAATGTCTGTAACATTGGTAAATTTACTTTACGTTGGGTTAAGCTTGTTGTTTTATGCAACTGTATTCACATAAATCGTTTTTTAAGTTACAGTTGTCATTTCAAATGCTACTATTACATTTTTTAAATCAGTTTAAAAGAAAATCCAACCATTTTCTCAATGTAGGATGTAATTATTACAAAACAGCAATTGCATAATGGTGCTTATGCCCTAATAGCTTTCCTATATCTTCCAATTGCTATGTTCAGTGTTTTCTCAAATGTTCAATGTTGTGTCACTGTTACATTTCTTGCTGTACGTTAAATAAAAACATAAAATTGTTCCTTAAAATCACCAAATATTTTGATGTTCCTGAGTTATCTAACAACCGACAGTGCAAGTGTTTAAATGTGTGCTAAAACATTACATTTGTGCTGCTCTCCATTGTGTCCAGTGACTTTATCCAGGTGTTTTTTTTTTTTTACCCATTGACTATCTTAGTACTGAGCGCCCCTGGAAGGGTGTAAAAGAGCAGAACCAGGAACAAGGTCAAAATCAACAGCACCAGTCCAGCTATGATGTATTTCTTGTAGTTTCCCCAGATCAGGTGAAAGAAGCACTTGAAAGGATTCATAAACCAGGAGAAGGATGTGTCTGGACGGCTAGAGAAAAAGACAAAGTTTAATATTAGAAATGTTTCACATGTACAGCAAAGTGTATGTTTTATCGAGTTTACTTTGTCTAAAGTAGTAGTAAAGCACAATAGTACTCGTCCTATGTTCAGCAGCTCAGGTTGTGGAAGTATTTTTCCCTATCATTTTCTTTTTCTCACAGGGTTAAAGAAAAGCTTAAACAGGGAATTTGCGGGGTCTAATAAAATCTTAAATCTCAAAAGCAAAATGTTATTTAAAAATAAATAAATAAACAGATAAGCAAAATGTTAGGCCTCACAAAGTCTTAAAGGGCACCTATTTTGCCCCTTTTTTAAGATAAAAAGGGCACCTATGGTGAAAAATCTCTGTGTTGGTCCTCTCCATTGGAAATAAAACTTGCCTGCAGGTCGCACAACAGAAGCGCTGTCGCACCATGCAGCACCATGCATTTTAGAATTCTAAACACAGGGTACACACATACCGGCACTTCAAGTCGGCGGCTGTCCGCAGCGCCCAGCCACAATTCGGGACACTTCATGTTTCTGCCGCGCCACAGAGCGCCATCTGAATAGTTTAATTTTAAATAACATGCGAATGTGCATGTCTGAGTGTGCTGTGTCGCAGTTTTGGTGCCTCAGTCAAAGTTAATTCAGTATGCGTGGTTATTAGTCTCGGTGTACAAGCTCGGCTCTTTAAACTAGCACACAGTTGGCTGTAAAACTATGCAAAGACACAAATGATGTTGTACTCTCTGCTTGGTCTGTCCGAGTCGTACATGTACGGCTGAATGCTGATCCTCTCACTCAGGTTGCTTGCTTTTCTCTGTCTGCCTGTCTGTTGCAAACACAGAGCGGGCAAACTCTTGGCTCCACCCCCTTGTTACGTTGGGCGGGAAGTCGAAACTAATTTTCATGCGAAGCAACACACCCCTAAAACAGTGAGCTGTGTACACAACCCCCAACATGACACTCATTAACACATTATAATAAAAAATCTGAACTGTGCTTTGAACTCAACCTTAACTGGCACACTCAGAAGAACCATAATATTAATATTAAATCATAAAACAGAGGTAAACTATGAGCCCTTTAAGATGAGTCTTTTGTCTCCAGAATGTATCAGTAAAGTTTAAGCTTCAAACACCCATCAGACTATTTATTATAGCTTTCAGAATATTGAAAGTTTCTGCTTTAAACACAATGTAGCTGTTTTTGTGGCATGTGTTTTTTTGCTAGTTCTCCTTGGCCAACGTTCTCGCATGCCTATCAGAATGTGCCTCAGTCTCCGCCTCGGTTGCATTAGATAAACAGCACAGCGACAGACATGAAGGAAGCAGATCTCACATAATGTTTGTGAGAAATACTATAAGAACTTTCCCAATGAGTATTTGATGTATTTGTTGTGGAGTTAATTCAAGCCTTTTGATGAGTTGCTTTGGCCACGTCCTGTCTTGCTGATATGATTATACATGTTACTATGGAGACATGTTAATAAGCTGTTGTCAATCAATTTAGTGTGCGGGAAAACTGCACTCCTATGTCACGTTGTGGTGGGCCTTAAAATTGGAGGGATTTGAGTCCATATTTTAATGTCAGGAAACTAAAAAAAGAAAAAAAGAGACTTATTGTGTTTCTATCACCCCAATATGACTGTGAACACGCTATGCCTGCACAAAGTTCTGTCCAAACAGCTTACAAAAGATGATTTTCATCAAAGGTGCCCTTTAAATCTACTGAAATGTTGTTTTGTAGTTCTCAAATCTTTTTTAACAAGTCTTAATTTTCCTGTTAATTTTTTTTTCTTAATTTTATTATTGCAGACTAAAGTAATTGGCAGCTATGTATGGTTCTATTCTTGATGAGGGTTATAGGGTTTGTGAATGAATATATTTGAGAAGTTATAGACATAATTATCATTGACATAACAAAAAAAAAAAAACTTAATTCTTATTGTATTATTAAATGTGTTACATTTTAATCATTTTTGATAGGCCAAGTGCAAATCTTTTCTAACAGGGATATTCAAAAAAAAAAAAAAAACTTAGCATTTAGACCTGTATAAGTCTAAAATTTTATTCATAATGGTCTTAAAAATGTCTTAATTTAACTTAGTGAAACCTGCAGAAACTCTATTAAAGCATTTTAAGCCATGAATCAATCCAACCAGCTATGAGGATAATTACAACATTACATACTTCGAAGCAAAGGAATAAATTAAAAGAAAAAGGTTTAAGACTGTACTTAAAGGTGTAGTATGTCAAAATGACCACTAGTGGTGGAAGTGGGTACTGCACCAAATTTGTGCATTTTTTGTGCAAATTTGTGTATTTTATCAAGACACTAAATGTGCTTTACATTATTTCACTGATTTAATTTTATTATTAAATATATGATTATAATAATATTTAATATTTTTAATTATTATAATATTCAATTCTAAAATATACTTTAGTGTGTGACCGGGGCTTTTATGCGTAAGCTGACAAGTTTTAAAAGCAAATGTTTATTTTTTAACATTAATGATTTAAAAAATGTTTAACTAATTTTTCGAACTATGAAAATTTTATTGAAAACAGGTTCATAGGAAAAGCATAAATAATCAATTAACAACCTCAGTCAGAGCTCAAAGAAGGTCTGTCTAAAAAGGTTTATCAGCAATTGATAATGAATGAGTTTTTACTTCCAGAACCCATCTGCTGGACTCTAAAGGTGAATAAAAACATCTGAAAAGAAGTATAAAGTGTATTAGTCTGATTACTTTGGTTTCTCCAGAGGCTCTGGCTCTTTGCGTGCGCGGCCCACTGGGTTTTTCTCAGCCTCCTCAGCAGTGACCAGGTGAAACTCAGCTTCTACCTTTCCCTACAGAAGAAAAAACAAAAACAGCTTGAATGCTTTTAACAGGTCACAAGTCACAAGCAAAGCATTATTTTAAAGTCTCAACACAATAACAACTAGTAGTCTTCGTGTTAAAAATAAAATTTCATCACCTTGGAATTATAAGGTTCTATCTGCGTTCTGAATGATTTTGAGATATTGAGCATCAAAATTTTTGCATTCGTTAGCAAACATTATGTGTGTAACATTTTTTTTTTAAAATAAAAAGTCTTAAAATGTAAAAAACATCCCATAATGTAAATAAGTTGTAATTTAATAAGAATGTCAATAACTCAATTTTGACAAAAATGTCACATAGAACCTTAGAATTAGGTGATGATTTGTCAAGAGTTAAATGATTAGTTTCCTCAAAAATTAGCTCATTTTCTGAACACAAAATAAATAATTTTTTTAAAGTTTTCCTCTAAAGGCAATAATGGTCCGGAAAAAGTTCTGAAAAGTACCAATAAACATCCTCAAAACAGTCCACATGTCTTCAGTGGTTCAATCAGAATATCATGAAGCTACGATAATACTTTTCGTGTGCAAATAAAACAAGAATAATGACTTTATTCAACAGTTAGTGACAGTATAAGGCGAGTGCTCAAAACTGTTGAAATAAAAAATCATCAATCATTTATAGTATTCTAATTAAACCCCTGAAGTCATATAGTCTGCTTTAAAGATGTTTTTTTGGTGATTCTCTGTACTTGAAATGACTCTCAGATTTTATCCAAATGACCTTCATTTGTGGTCATTTTGCCATTATTTGACAGAACAGTAGAATTACAGAATGTGGGAAATAGAGTGGGACAGGATCAAGAAAAGGTCAACAAATCGGAGCGATGTTGCATTATATGTAGTCGCTCTAACCCCTGGACAATTGCACTGACTAACCCTTTAAGTTTTGGGCCCCGCTTACACTAATACGTTTTCTTTTTTAAACGCACAAGTTTTGATACAGTTATGCCTTCCGTCCACATTACCCTGGAGTTTTTGAGTGCCGGAGCGAAACGGAGCATTTTGGAAATGCTGAAGAGGCCGTTCTCATTTAAAAAACCTGCTGCTCCGTCTCAGTGTGGATGGGGGGAAACGGTGACATCTAAAAATGGAGGCATGGCTGCAAATGTTTGATTGGGGCATTTTCCTCAATATTAAGTAGCCTACACACAGTTTGGTCTTGCATCCTCTCCTTGTAAGTTCAGACTTAGCAAGTTTGATATGGAAAACAAACTCCCAAAGGCACGTCGGGTAAATCTTCAAAGGAAAAAGGGTTACTTTATAATGTCACTCACATAATCCTGGCTACATTGTTTCACTATCTTAACAATGAAATGAAAACATGATATAAGGAACTGTCAATTTTCATTTTGATAATACAACTTAACAGACACCAGAAATCTTGAGATGTCGTGTAGCTACATATTTATATGAGCGTCATCTTCACTATATGCATATTTAAAACAAAATGAAGTGTATAACATTACTGCCTCCTTTCATTTTCATTGAAAATACGAAACACCCTTTCTTTTGCTGAATATTGATTTGAATAATCAATAATGGCCATTATAAAAGTATAACATAGAATAAGTTTATACAACATAGCAAACAAAGGCATGCAATCAGTCAAATTTGCAGAATCAATGTATGCGGTTACATTTATTAATATATTAACCTCACTTATCTTTGCACTCAGCCAAAACGTGTTACCTAAGAACAAGTAATAGATTCAAAAGACCAAAGTCGGGGAATATGTTGCTAGATAGAGATAACAAGATGGATTAAATATCATGTTTAACAAATATAGAGAGATTAGATCCATTGGTAGATTCTTGATGAACCATCCGACATGCACAGCTCTCACCTGGGGTTCTGTGCTCAAAGCACCCGCTGACTGCCTGGAGCTCAAACGTGCACAAACGCTGCAAGGCATGCCTTGTGTGTGTGTGTGTGTGTGTGTGGATACGTGATGTGCATTTTCAGTGGTGTAGTGTTGACGGAGAGCTGTTCAGAAACACTAGGTGAAACCCCAGTGTGAACGCAGATCGTTTTCATATTAAACCGCCATTTTAAAACTAAAATGTATTAGTGTAAACGGGCCCTTAATTGCTAATATGGTGGCAAACATGCAGCTATTGAGTTTCACACTGAATGTTTAATTCATATATGGAAAATTACGCACTGTTAGTTCTCCAGCTTTGATGAAGGGCCACCAGCCTTTGGAGCGTTTCTGCTGGAAGATAGAGATGTTCTCTGTGAGTTCTGTCAGCATTTCCATCTTACAAGCTTTAGCTGATTTAGCTCCACGAGGAAACCCATGCAGATCCAACTCCACTGAGCCTGAGTATAACACACAAAAATGACCTTGGTTACGTAAGAGATAAAGTACATCGCGGCGGTTGGGATGTTGATGGGATTTATTCAGTGAAAACAACCACCTGGATGCACTTTATCTTGTTTTTTACATGGCTCCTTGCCACAAAACACTTTAGTTATACAAAACATTGTTCTGAGCAATAATAGTTTATTAATTCTTTAATTAAACGCAAAGCTGATAGAAACAAAAAAAGTGGAATGAAGCATACACCAATCTACATGTTAATCGGTCAGAAGATGGCGCCTAACAGTCAAAACCAGTGGCGAAGACAGAAAAGCATATGGATATGAACTTATCCACTGAAGGTCAAGATGATTTAAAGTACCCGGATGAGTCTGTGTCATTAGATTAAATGTTTGTTTTCTGGAAACAACATACCTTGCAATGTCGTGACTGACCAATCAGAATATAGTACTCCAGACAGCCTTGTAATAAGTATTAATATACATTTTTTACAAGTTTATAAGAAATTAATCTGTGAATCCGTTAATGACACAGTAGAGGAACTGTAAGCTAGAAGGGAGGATGCAATACATATAAATACATTTAAATGTTAGAATGTGAAGCAAGAACGATTTCTCACCCAGAAAGTCATCGGAGGAAAGCCGCTCAAAGTCCCACACCTGCATAACAAGAACTGCAGGCATCTTCTGTTCAGTTTTGTCCAGAGAGTAGATGCTTTCTCGCTTTTGTACCACTACCACTTTCTCAGCTGGTAGGTAGCTGAAGGGGAACACAAAGCGCCAGTTGAAGTTGCCCTCTCCAGTCAAAGAATTGTAATGGACATCAGTTTCCTGGCCGTCATCTTCAAGACCCTTTAACCACCTGAAGAATGAGGAGAAATGCATTGGTAATTACTGTTCTTTCTGATGTTGCAGACAAAATTGATCTAAAAGGTTATCTATTACTATTATAAAAAAATTCATTTAAAATTGCATATATAGTTTTATCATTATTATGTTTTTAAAAAAAACATTTATTATGCTCTGGCATTTATTTGAAATCATGTGAAATTTTATAAAATGCCTGCTTTCCCTTTGAATGCATTTTAAAATGTACTACAGTATCATTAGTGTCATGTGATGCTTCAGAAATTATTATAATATCTAATAAAATTCTAATATTACAATTTAACAGTAATTGTCAGAAAAACAATATGACAAAACCAACTAAGTATATTTTTTTGAGTACAGTACAATGTACACTGACTGGCCACTTTATTAGGTACAGTTGTCCAACTCAATGCATTTAGGCATGTAGACATGGTCAAGATGATCTGCTGAAGTTCAAACCGAGCATCAGAATGGGGAAGAAAGGTGATTTAGGTGACTTTGACAGATGTAAGTATTTCAGAAACTGCTGATCTATTGTGATTTTCAAGTACAACCATCTCTAGGGTTTACAGAGAATGGTCCGAAAAAGGGAAAATATCCAGTGAGCAGCAGTTTTGTAGGCACAAATGCCTCGTTGATGCCAGAGGTCAGAGGAGAATGGCCAGATTTGTTCGAGCTGATAAAAAGACAACAGTAACTTAATTAGCCACTTGTTAAAACCAAGGTGTGCAGAAGAGCATCTCTGAATGCACAACATGTCAAACTTTGAGATAGATGGGCTACAGCAGCAGAAGACCACACCGGCTGCCACTCCTGTCAGCTAAGTACAGGAAACTGAGAAAACAATTCACACAGGCTTAACAAAGTTGGACAATAAAAGATTGGAAAAAAGGAAGGTCTGAAGAGTTTCGATTTCTGCTGCGACATTCAGATGGTAGGAATTTGTCAGAATTTGGCATCAAAAACATGAAATCAGAGATCCATCCTGCCTTGTATCAATGGTTTAGGCTGTTGTAGTGGTGTAATGCTGTGGGGGATATTTTCTTGCCACACTTTGGGCTCATTTGTACCAATTGAGCATCGTGTCAACGCCACAGCCTACCCGAGTATTGTTGTTGATCATGTCCATCCCTTTATGACCATGATGTACACATGGTCTGATGGCTACTGGAGGCAGGATTACACGCCATGTCAAAAGCGCGAATCATCTCAGACTGGTTTCTTGAACATAACAATGAGTTTACTGTACTCAAATGGCCTCCACAGTCACCAGAACTCAATCCAATAGAGAACTTTTGGGATGTGGTGGAACAGGAGACTAGTACTACTAGTAAGGTGTACCTAATAAAGTGGTCGATGAGTGTATATAAAACAAGAGAGTGTGTGTTTATTCTGAAAAGCCTATTTTAGAAGAAAGTAAAAAAAACAAGATTAAAGATTACTTTAAATAAGTGTAATGTAAACCTAGACAGAATGGAGACTGTAATATATGTGTGTGTGCGTGTGCGTGTATATATATATATATATATATATATATATATATATATATATATATATATATATATATATATATATATATATATACATACATACATACATACATACATACATACAGTATGTATGTATATATATATATATATATATATAATGATTAAAGACGTCGCTAATGTTACCCTTTAACATAAATGTCGCTTGACTGCTGTCCTGTAATGAAGTTGGTGTCCTCCAGTATCACATCTTCAGTGTTCCAGATAATGATTCTCAGTTCATACCTTAAAAAATAAATCAAATATGAGACAGGACAAACAAGTATTAAAGGGGATCCATTATTATAAGATTTACACATTTTACAAGAACTAAAATAAGTCTCTGATGTCCCTAGAGTGTGTATGTGAAATTTCAGCTTACAATATCCCACAAATAATGTTTTATAACTCTTTGAATCTGACCCTTTTAGGCTTTGATCCTATTTGAGCCATTTTGGTGACTGTCAGTTTAAATTCAAATGAGATTGTTTTCTTTTTTTAAAAGAGGGCGGAGCTACGGATGCCTGTGTGTCAGCATAGTGACAGATTCAAAAACAAGACTAATGTCTTATGCTAATCAGGGAGAGAAAAAATGAATACAATTTTACCATTAGAAGCTGGTTAATTTCACAGACTGTTGCCACACAACTGTGTTTAAATCCTTTATAAAATGTGATTTTGCATCATAGGACCCCTTTAAATGTAACTGTACAACCCAGAAAGATGGTTTAGTGTTTCTTCATTGTACCCTTTAGGTTTGCGAGGGGAAATGTCCACAGGTGGGCCAGGGTGAGGCATGTCCAGTGGAAAAATGTCCACCCACATCTGCAAATGGCCCTGGGGAACATACAAATCAATAATTAAGAATATTCACACCAACAATCCTTAAACTGATATTAAATGTATTATGTATATTGTGCATAAGGTTGCATAAGTCACTAATCAACATGTTACCTGGTCTATTCCTGGTTTGTCCTTGAGGTAAAGTGCGCGAGTTTCAATATGCTCTGGGACAAGTTTACAGCCTCCGTTGGGCATCTCAGACCACCTGTGAAGCACCTTGAGAGCCAAGTGTTCATACGACTCCACCATTTGATCTGTGAATCGGCAGCAAACACTTATTGCGCATTGCTCATTGGGTTAAAGTGAGACTATAAAGCCAAAAACATGCAAACATTTTTTTACTTCCTAAATACACTCTTAAGTATGTCCTTTGTCACAATTAATCAATTTGTCTGTAGATTCCAATTACTATATTTTTTTAAAGGTCATTTTCTCAGAGTTTTTTCTCTTACACAGAGCCATAAATCTCCGTATCAGCATCACTTACATCAGTGTTTCCCAACCTGGTTGCTGAAGACACAACAAAAATACTCAATATATCAAAAGAAACTGTATGTGCTGTTGGTGTGCCTCCGGGAAAAGGGTTGGGAAATGTAGACTCACATAAACCAAACTTGAGTTTTATTCATATTGGTTTTATGAGGGTAGATTTTCATAAATAATATACCTAAATACATATATTTAATTTAAAACATAACATTTTTGCTGTTTGCAAAATTTTCTGAATTATAGCGTGATAAAAGGAAATTCCTAAAATACACTCACAAAATAAAAATCTCACTCCAATGAATCAAACTATAAAACAACAATTTTAAAAGTATAATTCAGTGTGTATTTAATCAAACGGAGAAGTTTGGTGATAACTATTTTTTACCGTACTCATCTCCAGTGTCTTGCCTTAACTTTCCTTAACTTGCCTTAACTACCCTTCACTTTCCACAAACCTATGTGAGGTTCTTTCTTCTTTTAAACACAAAGAGTATTGAAAACCTGTAATATTCACCTCTTTAGTATTTGTTGTTGCTACTATGGAAGCCAGTGGTTACCAGTTTTCAGCTTTCTACAAAATATCTTCTTTGTGTTCAAGAAACTCATAAAGGTTTGGAACCACTTTGAGGTTAAGTAAATCAGAAAATTACCATTTTTGGGTGAACTATCCCTTTAAAATCAACAATGCCAAGCTGAAAGCTAAAAGAATGACCTACCTTCATCTGGAAATACCGTTTTCCCCATAAAGACTTTGTTTCCGATGGTAATACGGCCTGGAGAAAACTGAGGGTTGTCCAGTCTGTTTTCTTTACACAGTTTAATCAGCAGGTCTACTGGCTTCATGCAGTCCCTCCATGCATTATAACCCTCACTAGATGACATGAGACAGATCAAGAGTGAGCATCGAACTCAATTGAGAAGACCATAAATGTTACAATATAAATACTCACATGGCATATTCAGTAGGAAGGCTGCAGGTTGCTCGATGTCTGCTGTAAAACCGGTTCTCCAAATCGATCTGTGTTTCTCCAATCAAATCATCACCACCAACCAGGTCATAGTCATAGATTAGGATTGTTAGTAGGGATTCTTTGGGAAAAGTGGCTTGAAATTCAAAAGATCTGATCAGGGGAGAAATACGGAGGTCATGAATGAACCTTAATAAAATGAGCAGTTAGAAGAAATAAATTCTCAATCAATCTGCTTGTTCACCTTCCAAACACTGGGTTGAGCTGCTTTGGGATGTAATTGTCTCTGTCTTTGATCTCAGTTTTCCCAAGTTTCAGCACTATGTAAGGGTCTGCTTTGCCATCTGGGTCTGCAGGGTGCAGGTTGAAGGCCTTAAAATGCATAAGAGACTGTGAAAACACCTGTTGCAAATCCTGTTTAAGACCAGCAAAGCCGGTCACCAAGATTTGCTAAAGTACATAAATTCCGTGTGTATGTCATCAAAAATCATAAAACTTTAAAAAAAAAAAACTAAATTACTTTAACTAAACTCAATTCAGATTTAGATAGAATATAGCATTCAAGATACATTTACTGAAACCTTAGAAATCAATAGAATTATTTTCTAATTATAATTATAAATGTCTTATAGTCACTTTTGATTAATTCATCCTTGTTGATTAAAACTACTTCTTTCTCCAAACTTTTCAATAACTTCATACTTGGGTCTATGACCCAAAATGCAGGGTCAGTTAAAAAGCAAAATATGTAAGACGTGAGTTAATAACATTGATGCTGTTAGAAAAAAGGAATCAATTTTTTATTATTTTTGTCTCTTTTTCTTTGAATCAAACAATTAAATTTATTAGTCATGTAAGGGTCATATATTAACTGAACTTCTACTGTTGTGTGTGAGATGCTGTGCATACTAATTAGCATTTTTGCTGAAGTAGATAAAACAGTGGGTTGTTCTGTAGATTATATAGAGAAAAAATAGATTAAAGAGGGTTATAATTTTGTACCTAAAATGGCTTCTAAAAAATAAAACACTGCTCTTATTCTAGCAGAGACAAAACAAATAAGACTTTTTCTAGAAGACAAAAATATTATCAGACATACTGTGAAAATTTCATTGCTCTGTTAAACATAATTTGGAAAATATTTAAAAAAGAAGAAAATTCAAAGGGGGCTAATAATTCTGACTTTAACTGTAGATGACAAGTACTTACTGCAACTATGTAGACACGGATAAGGACATTCACAGCAGTGTTTGGAGGAATTCCCTGATTGATTTTAAACTGCCCTGAATCCACATAGCCTTCTTCCGCCTCACCGTCTGCTTCTGGCAGCTTGTAAAGACAGAACCTGCCCTGATGGATCAATCAGAGATAGAAACTCTGCCATCCAAATATCGAAAAACATACATGTATCTCATGGGAGTACATACACAAACAGTTTACCTTGAACTTCCCAACAAATCTCTCATATGCAGAGCCGTCCTCTTCATTGGCCTTTCCTCGAAAGAGTTCAAAGGTTTTTACCCAGTCATCAAATGGCCCAAATTCAGCCTCCAGCTCTTTGTCGTACACCTAGAGTAATTAAACAAAAAGGTGAGTCTGCACATCTGTTTAATGGATAAATCTGCACTTAAGGTATAGACAATATTTTGAATGCAAATCATTGTCAAAAATAAAATGGCAGATTTTTACCTGTAATGTTGCAAGCCTGGGCTGTTCAATCACACTCTTGTAGTTCACCTCTTTTTTCCTATCCCTCATACCTGATGCTAAATATACAGCAGAAAATAACTTGCACACAATCTAACAGACTCTAAAAGTAAACATGGTCCTTAAAAGATTACGGGTAAATTAAAAAGATGCAAAGAAACATGCTTTCATCATTTCCAAGCAAAGAGCAATTTGAAGTGCTTTAACAAAAACAAACCAATCAACTTATAACTTACCAGTGTACAACAATATAATAATGAATTCCTTTTTTTAATATTTGAACCCCTACCAGAAAAACTTAGTACATTCACACTATGTAACTTTTAGTAAGCTCTTTAATACCGTTCAAAAGATTGGGGTCATTAAGTTTTTTAATGCTGATTAAAAGATTTTTTTAATGAAATGATTGCATTTTTTTAGCAAGACATATTAAAATGTATTAAAAGTGACAAAGATAAAGGATTAATTCCCAATAAAATCAAATGACATTACAAAAAAACTTCATCGAACACTGTACAAACTTACAAACAAACAATATAAACCCATATTTTCACATTTTAAAAGGAAACACAGCACAAAACTGTCATGATGGCTTCAAAATGAGACTTTATGCATGCTTTTGACAACTGTCATTAAGTTTCATTTGTTTAGGTGTCATTTTAAATGCAAAGATGACATCATAAAGGTGTAATGACAGTCTTATGAAACGATCTTTTTAAAATGTATCAATTCAGTAATTTCATAATTAAACATTTGCTAATACAACATTGGTCAGATTTAGGATTAACAACATTATGTGTCCAAAGAGGGAGGTCAGCCGAATACTACCTGAATATAAAATACTGAATGAGCAGGATATTCTATCAAATGGTTTTTCTCTTCCCTGATGGCATGAGCATATTCCAAGATAACAATGCCAGAATTCATCATGCTCAATCTTTGGAAGTGTGGTTTAGGGTACATGAAGCACTGTAGTCCTATTGAGAATCTTTGCATGCTGTAATCAAAGCTAAACCCAGTCCAACAACATATTTAAGTGTGTGTGTGTTTTTTTTTGTTTTGTTAGGACAGGCTGTAAATTTACCATTAAAGCATATAAGGGAAATAAAGTACTATTTTAAATAATAACCTCAAACAGAATCATCAAATTGTTGTTTAAATGAACTATTATTCATTGACTTTTTGACATGTTATTTGATATTCGTACTGAGTTAGAAATTGTATCAAAACCATATAAAGTAGCATTGCAACCACCAACCGATCCCAAACTTTTGAACAATAGCTGTACAAAAACCAAACATAGAGGTGCATATAGGGTCACCGTTGGATTGCAAAATGTTGTGTCATGCTTTAAATATGAGTACTTTAATTCCATTTGCATAACAGTTTACTTCTAATTCACAGCTGGTTAAAAATCATATCAATTGTGTGCTATTTGAAATGTTTTATTAGTTATGTCTCATTATCCATCCCAATATCTCTTTTACACCTTTTAAATTTTGATACATTAATTTGTGTGACATCTAGATGATTTAAGGTGATTGGTGTGATTCTTATTGAAAAGTCTAACTTACTTTGGTTTAAGTTCTCAATAGTAGTGTAAATAAACACCTTTTTTCCAGTGATGCACCGATACCATTTTTTGAAAGCGATCCAATCGATCCAATCCCGATACCAAAAATACAGATCTGATCCGATACTGTGCCTTTTTGTTTTAACATAATAGAATTTCAATATTTCTGCTAATCATAAACACAAATAATATATATTTTCTTTATTAAAATAAACAGACATTTAGGCCTGCTGTATATGGCAGTCAACACAATTTCACTAAAAACGTGATGCCAGCAAGCCGATACCCGATCCAGCAAAAATATGTGGTATCGAACCGCTATCCGATCCAAGTATCGGATTGGTGCATCCCTATTTTTTACCCTGTCAAAAACACCTCAGTCCACAATAAGCGCATTCGATACATATTCCTTTAAATGCTAAATAGCCGCGGCTCCTCATTCAATCTCTGAGATTGCAGTCTCAGGAATACTAATCCATTCTTGATGAACATCTAAAATGGACCAGCACACACACAGCACCAAACCAAGCCTCAAGCTACTGCTACATTTTGTCTGAATGACTAACATGGAGTATTTAAAGCCATTTCCACATTTTGATGGCAAAATGTGAAATAGAGCCAGGCCATCTACCCTCACTGAACATGATATTAAAATCATTGCTTGACACTGCAGCCTGCCATTATCAATGTAAAATGTATTCAAACAAACATCAATACATATGAAAAATGTTATGCATAGACAAGCATGTTTTACCTGGATATTCCCTTCATATATAAAACTAATAAATTTTGCTGTTGCTTCTTCTGAAGCTGTGATTTTGAGTAAGGTCATCTGTGAGCCTCTAATGTTGCATTCAGCATGCCAGGATTGAAGAACAATTAAAGGTAACATCACTAGTATCTTTGCCACTTTGAGGAGGGCTGAGTACATAGTTTGCTTGAAGGCAGACACATGAGAATAGAGAATAAACTGGCAAGGAATTCAAACAAGGTCAATTATGGCACATACCTGTAAATACACTCAAATAGTTTACAAAAACAATCTGCATGTTTTCATTTTAACATGTCTGAGCTGGTAGACACAGCAAAAACTAAACTACACTAAACAAGTCCACTAAAATAACTCTGATGTCACCATTAATATATCAGAACCTCTAGTTTTTCATGATTGTTTTTGTAATTTTTTGCGATTAAAATGAATGATTTTGTGGTGGTAATTCCCATAAATTTCCAGACAATTTTACAATTAAAAATATATAAATATATGTACTACTATGTTAGGTGTGCAATCTGGCACAATGACAAATCATAAAAATAAAGCTTCTTTATTTTGATCTCTTATCAAGACAAGATCTAAAACAGATCTAAAACGGTAAGGATTAAGCCAAAGGAAGGTTGTTGTCACCGACTCGGTCCCAGTCATTCCCCTCGCTGGCCAGCAGAGGTCATCATCACCTGACTTTTGACATTACATCATCCATTGACTGATTAGCACTCACACCTGCATCACATCTCCTAATCACCTGGCTCACGCTTATAAGCAGCACACACACACAGTCTTATCGCGAAGTCTTGTTCTGCCCCGGCTAACACTACTGAGCGTTTCTCATCCTTGCCTGCGTTCCCGTTGCTTACCTTACCTTGCTTTGATTATCGACCTTGTCCTGCCTGCTGCCTGCCTTATACCTGTGCCTGAATCCCGACTCTGATCCTCGCCACCTGCCTTGAACTTTAGCCTGCACACCGACTTTGAGATTAGCCGCCTGCCTCTGACCCATGCCTGCATACTCATCCTGTGTTTACCTGCCGCCAGCCCTTCGACCTTATACTACTGTGTTTGATGTGAGTTTGCACACGCATTACATCTGTGTGCTTATTGTCATTAAACTGTGTTTCATAAATATACTGCAAACAAATCCCTCTGTGTCAGCCGCTTCGTTACAGTTGTATAACTCTTATTTTTATCCACGATCTTACTTTTAATGTAAGATTTTCAATACTCTGATTTTACTACCCGTAGCATCTGACATGTACCTCGCTCAGGACATGTTACGGCTTCCCCTACTGTAATGCACCAAAAACATGGATTGGTGTAAAACTCGTCAATGGCAGAGAAGCGTTTTCTCTTGTTAATTGCAGGAAAACAGTTAAGTGAAAACATTTATCGATTTGATGCACTTTATAATACTAGCCATACATGTAAAGCACAAATAATATCCTTCAATTCAGTCACGTCCAGCTGCCGTCATCCTTGAATCAATTTCCATCATTGTAAGCTGCTTACTTTTCTATCTGTTACATTGCTCCAGTTGTTAGATGTTTTTTCCACTTTCCTTTGCAGTTTGAAGCACTGCAAAAGCACAAAACGATCAATTTGTGCCACAGGATGTCTAATTGCACCTTTGCATTGACTTCACATGTAGTTCACTCATGCTTCATCTGCGTCTGCTTACTGCACAGGCTGCAAAACAATTCCACCCCCCCTTCATGTAATGTAATGATTGTGAGGGTGCCAGTGAGACGTCATTTTTCGAGACACACTCAAATACATCACGTGCACTGCGTATGCAACGTCTGTAAGTCATTGCAAACTGAAATTAAAATAATTTTATTATATGGCTTAGAATTGTATGTTTTATGAGATTATTTACATTTTTTCCAATTATTTTGCATTTAATTAAGAATTTTGTAGGATCGCAAAATTTTTTGACTTTTTGTTGATTTTACGTTGATTCAGCGATCGCGGAAATGCAAAAAACAAGAGGGTCTGACATATAATCCTTGTATCAAAGCTCAGTTGAACTAAGATAGAATGCAGTAACCACATGTTTTGCATCTAGACTTCTGAATAAGCCTTCAAAATAAACTTGTGATCAATCATGAATATGCAAATAATTTTGTGGTAAAAGTCAAGAACGTGTTTTGCACATCGGCAATTAATGCCAATGCCTTTATATTGCATCCTCAACCACGTCTTTATTTCACACCTCTCCTCTCTTCACATCTCTGCTTCTCTTTCTTGAACTTCCTTTTTTTCTGATGACAGCTACTATTCCTATTTACTATTACTTTTTATTACTTCTGTACATAATCTGATTGCTTGAGATGCACTTCAACCTAAATATTTTACTACATGTATGCTTATTGATTATTACAATGCAATATATTGTAACTCTAAACTAGATTATATTTGAATTCAATTAAGTTATGATTCATTTTTATTGTTGATTTGCCTCTTACTCCAACTCAACCGTATGACATGGATTCAATTTCGCATCATCTCTGTTATGTAAATGAATAAGACTTGTGAACAGTGACCAAACACTCTGCAATCCTGTTGACCAAAGCAAAAGAAGAAGGCCATGCAGTCATGCAGTTTCCCAGTCATTCTTACCCAGATTGATCAATCCTTCGGAAATAATGTTCTCCAGAGGAGTAACTGAAATACATCATAACGTGGGCATGTTTGACTAAAGCTGGAGCGAGACGTTGCAGAGGACATAAATACAGGTATCACTTACTATTTTCAAAGAGCAGTGGAAAAGGATTGTCTTCTTTTTGCTTTGCCTAAGACAGAAGTTGTGATACAAATCAGTATCAGTAAGCAAAACGACCTCCCTGGCTAACAAATGAAATGCTTTTACTAGTTACCTGTTTGATTTTCTCCATCGATGCATAGTACTTCGACCACCAATCGATGACATTATCTGCAGACTCATCAGCCGTGGTGCGTTTCTTCCTTTTTGTAGATCTTCGTTTGCTCTTTTTTGACACCTGGCATTGATAGACAGTTTTTATAGTCAACAATTTCTAAGCTGAGAAAATATTAGAGACTATTTATTCTATGCTAATGAAGGACAAACTGGGACATTCCAACCACAGGATGGGTTCTCCTGGCGTAGCAGTGTTCCTCACAGCTCCAATACACATCTCTACCATTTGTCTTGCAGAAACTATGTGCTTTTCACCATACACAATTAATCTGCTCGTGATCTTTTTTCATGTAAGTTTTTCATGTTTGGTGTTCAGTTCATGATTTCAGTGTTGTAGTGATGAAATCAACAGAAACAATGATGTTTTTCAATATACAATCTGTTTACTATTGTTGAGTCATGGCCTGAGGAGGATATTGTATGTTAATGTACCTCTCCCCCACTTTATCTCCTCAACTCTGCTTTCATGTTCAGCTGATTTTGGAGCTTGGTTTTCACTCATGTTTGACAATTCTTTGCTCAGGGTATATGAAGGAAAGATAAATGTTGATCGGTGCTTTTAATCTGCTTCTCCCGCACAGAGGTGCATCCTCTACCTTTGTTGATAATAACATATCAGAGAATAAACCAATCAGAGTCTCATCTCCCATTCCCTTTAAGAGTCAGTTGCGTCGCTCCATGGCACATTTGCCATTTACATGGCATAAAGTAAGTGTAAGTGGAAAAACTGAGCACTTCACTAGCAAGAAAACTGTTAAACAGAGCTTCTACAGCGCGAGAATGAGAGATAAGCCTCCTCATTATCTACTTTCACTTTCGCTCTCGTGGATAGGGGACATCAGTTAGCCTATAAATAATTAATTTTGTTTGTTAAGCGCAAAGATCTGTTTCAAAACTATTTCTGAATATTAGTTCTAATTTCCAGCAAACGAATAAATGAACAATAATAACAAAGTGTGGTCAAAAACCTGAGTTATATCCTAATACACATGCTATGCCCCATATGGTCTGAAATCTGACAGGTGTACAAATCAAAGCTTGTTTTTAATAAAACAAATATAAATATGCATATAATAAATAATACTGCTAATTATACAAAAGCAAATTATCATGATTAAACTGAAAAAGCTGATTTTGGAGCTTGGTTTTCACTCATGTTTGACAATTCTTTGCTCAGGGTATATGAAGGAAAGATAAATGTTGATCGGTATATATATCCTTAATATTTTGATTCTTTTACATATGTAAAGATATTATCGTATTGCTCTACATCTTGTGTGTATTAAGCAATGTGTAAGCAAGGCGCACAACTAACGCGCTCTGCGCTGGACAATAGGCCAGCTTTGTTCTGGTGTATTGAAAAATCTATTATAGTTTCTCAAAATAGCAACGTGCCAGCAATGCGCCTCAACACGCCTTCCTTTTTAGACCAGAACGCCTATAGGCGCACATATGAGCGCAAATGCATTTGCTATTTTAACAGCATGGCGCAAAACGTCAAATCAACTCTTGTGCCGAGCTAAAACTAGCAAACAACAATTGCATCGCACCTTGTGCCACATTGCGCCGGGTGTATGATAAGGCCTATTATGTTAGTTTCACTCTACTGCCTGTATATACAAATGTAACTCAAAAAAAAGTAACTTTACCTGCTATAAGACGTTGAGATTCTTTCACTTTATCAATGATGATAACAACTTTAATAGAGTCAGATTAATTACAATGGAGTCAGATAAACAGTTGATTTAAACATGCCATTGTGCTTTCTGTTTTCGATAATTGGTTCAGAATAGCAGTGTAAGCTTCAAGCCTTACAATTTAAAGTGCATAAAAAGAAAAACAACGAGTATTGTTGAATGCACATTGGTTTAAGGACAACTTTGATGGAAGGCTTTGAATCACCAGTGTTTACGTGCTTCTATGTGGTTGGTAAAATGTACCTCAGCTTTAAAAACTGATAATAAGTCTATATATTATATTCTATATTCTAAGTCTATATAGTATATATATTCTAATAATGTCTTTCACAGCCGAAGCATGTGTGTGGGAAATATGTAATCCTATTTACTATTGTCTATTTAGAGACAACATATTCTATATTCATTTCCCATTAAATATTGCTTAGTTCATTTTTACCCATATTATATGTACACATATATGTTAAAAAAAAGTAGTTTGTACTGAAAGCAAACCTTTGTGTCCTGGAATTCAGGCTCTTGGCTTTTGGGGGCAATGATCTCCTCATGCTCTATTTCAATGGCGATCTCTTCATCTGGAGGTGGAATAACACTCTGCTGCAGAGAGAGCTGAGCCACTGTAGGCAAAAAAAAAAAAAAGCAAACAAACAAATAATGAATTTTATGACCTTGATGAATTTCATCATATATGCAATTATTCCATTATATATATATATATATATATATATATATATATATATATATCCCTGACCAAGACCACAGGTTTTATATATTATTATTATATATTATATATTATTAGGAGCATAGAATCACCATATTTTTCAGAAGCTGTGACTGTAATGGAAATGGTTTAACCAAACATTAATATTTTTTTGCAGGTTGTAGCTAAATTAATGTTGTAGAATTTGCATTAGTGTTCATAGAAAACTAAAGACCTTATTTCTAATTCATTCATTTTTCTTTCGGCTATTTTAGAGGGCACCACAGCGGAATGAACCGCAAACTATTCCAGCATATGTTTTATGCAGCGGATGCCTTTCCTTAGCATTGCATCTGGAATAATTCTGTCACAGACAATGATCCGAATTCAAATTATATTCTAGTACCTACAGACACTTACTGGTCCTAACTTGTTTTAAATGCATCAAATGTCTTAAATGTTAATGTTAGTCGGTAGACTGATAAGAAACAGTGAATAAACAGCACAATTACCCTTCTAACTCAGGAAAAAGTATCTTTTGTTCATTCTTATAATCGTTTATAGACAACACAATACTAGTTTTCAACTTGAGAAGAGAGTAACATTTAACTTGAGGAGGTTGTTCATTAGACCATAATCACGTAATGTCATTAACATGAATATTTTTTTGCCAAAGGTAACATTGTTTGGCATGTCCTTATGACTACTTGATACAACATAACTTGTTATAAATCTGTCATAAACATGATTGTCAAATCTGAACTGTCTCCCCATTTGAGCTACTACTAATTTCCTGTGGATCTTTGAGAAGCTGCTTTGACACACCTTGTATTATACAGTATAAGCACTATAGCAAAAAGTGACTATCTATTTTCTTTTTTATTGTGACTGTAATGGAGACATGCATCACCTGCTATGTTTTTGGGCTCTGGCGGGGGCTGCTGGACCGGTACAGGATTGTGTTTGAATAAGGCCAGGTTGTTGATCACATGACTACCTACAAGCGTGCTTCTCCCAAAGGCCCTCCAGTCCACCACGGTGAGAGTGAGGGGAGGGAGGAGATGTTCATCTTCAGGCAACTCCTAAAGACGCACACGACAAGCTGAGATCAGCGAAACACGAGCAGAGCGACAAGGACATCAACAATAAACAGAGCCCTGCTGTCGAGGCAGTTTACTCACCACATCAAAGGCGTCCACAATTATTGTAAAGTTCGGGTTTTTCTTGTAGCTTTGTATGACAGAGGAGTTGACACCCGATCCTGCGCACTTGATAAATACTTGAGGACGATCGACAGATAAGAGCTGAACCTTTTTCAGTTCTCTGAGGCCCCAGAACAAAACCTGCAGTGCACATCAGCCTAACCTCAACAACATTGTATTCAAAATGCAGACAAAGCACTGATAGTACACTGTTAACCCTTACTGTAGATTATGCAGTAAATAACTGTAAAATAGCCAGTGTTTAGCTGTAATGAAAAGAAACTGTATTTTACTGTAAAAGGAGCAGGATTTGTATGAAATTCTGTAGTGCAAAGAATAAATTACAGTAATTTACTCTATGTACCATTACAGATATTTACTGTGATAATAAATGGTAAATTACTGTTCAACCATTACTGCCCCATCTATTCTGATGCTTTATGTTGCTATTTTATATTTATTTTATCTCTGTGTTTTCTTTGGTTCCTTTTATGTTTTTAACATTGAGTATCAGGAGTCAACCAATGCCACAGAGCTTATTAAAAGGTAAGTGTAAGATATGGACGAAATGCATTTAAAGGCAAAAATATTCACACAGAGCAAAGAAATTGTCACAATAATTTTTATAACTTTGTTTACTTTTTCTATAATTAATCTAATCTAATTGCCTAGTTTGACCTATGGTTAAGATTTTAAATTGCACTTTCAACTGAATATTAGTATTTTGCTAAATAACTAGTAAAAATGTGTTATTAAAAAAAAAAAAATATATATATATCTTAAACAACACGCACATACATTTTTGCAGAGACTCAATGAATTTGTCTGGAAAACTGGCAAGTAAAAGTGCCATTAACAGTATAAAGGCTTTCCTAAATAAATGTATAAATCATGATATTTGTTGTGTTTTTTATTATTTTTACTACAGATTTGGTACGACATGAGAATTAGATTATTTTTTTATTTTTTTTTTTCTATGGACGAAGTTTATATTATAGTATATTTTTATTGTTTTTATTAAACAATATGTGCATAACTGTGATAAATGTAGGCAGTTGCTTTGAAAATATGCTATGTACCAGGGGTGTCAAACTCCTGGAAGGCCAGTAGAATTTAGTTCCAGCCCTGCTTCAACACACTACCTTTAGATTTAGTTTGATCAGGTGTGTTTAATTAGTATAACTGCACTGTTACTCTGTAGATTGTGCAGTAAATAACTGTAAAAAACAATGATTTAGGCATCACCACACACTCCCACAGGCTGTCCGTCTTATTCTAAACACAAAGGTGTTAGAAAGAGTATTCAGAAAATACTGGCCCTTTAAGAGAGCCAGGTGTTTGATTTGTTTACTGCTGAGTGCGCTCTATTCTCTGTCTATCAATTCAGATGTTGAGTCTGATATGTTTTAGGCCTTAAATAAGAATCTACAATAAGTAAGTAAAATGTGTTCAAATGTTTTTTAGGGTTTATAAAATAAGGCTGTGTTTTAAGTTATATTGTTGTTATCTTGAAATATGTACTTGAAAGCTACATTGTTAGCTAGTTAGCCTCTCCTCATATAACTTCTTACATTACTTTTGTTTAAGTATATGTATTTATTGGATATTGCATACTGCCATAATGTACAGATGCTAACAGTTGTATGTATCTTTCTGGCAACTAAGCCAAAATTAAATTCCATCATCTCAGTAAGGTAACATTTGCACATCATCACAGGAAATCACAAAAACATGATACACATAGCCATCCACACACAAAAGCTCCACTGTCCGGTCCCAGGTTGTGAGTTTGTTGCTAAGCATTTTTCAGAGCTGTGTTTACACCTATGAATTTATATTAGAAACAATAAAAAAGTTTGTTGTCATGAGATAATTATAACAATAAAAGATTGGATCCTTTGGTTTTTTGGTGTTGCCAACTTTATTTTTGTTCTCTATAATTATTTTAAACTTTTTGAGATTTGACAGAGCTTTTAATTATTTAAAACTTTAAAATTTAAAATATTTATTTGGTTTTTTTTTTTTTTTGCATGGTCAGCATTGAGGAGAGAGTAACACATTTCACTGCAGCACTTTGTGTGTGTGTTTGTGTGTTTATTATTAGATATGTGATTGTGATAAATGTTAGCAGTTGCTTTAAAAGTATGCTATATACCAGGCGTGCTTAATCCTGTTCCCTGGAGATCTACCTTCCTGCAGATTTCAGTTGCTATCCATATCAAACACACCTAAACCAATTAATTAGGACTTGAACACCACGTGATAATTACAGGCAGGTGTGTTTGATATGGGTAGCAACTGAAATCTGCAGGAAGGTAGATCTCCAGGGGTCAAACTCCAAGTTACTGGAGAACTGCAGGGCAGCAGAGTTTAGTTCCCACCCTTCTTCAACATTACCTGTAGATTTCTAACGAGCCTTAATTAGTTTTATCAGGTGTGTTTAATTAGAGTTACAGCTTAAAGTCCCAGTCACACTGCATTTCTCTCCCTTTAGACTTCCATTCATACGCATGTGAATGCTGCAGACCTGGAATGCTAGCTCATGCGACAAATTTTACAGTTTGCAGCATTGGAAAGTTCAAGCTTGGAGAACTCTGAACTGCAAAATCACATCATGTGATTGCTTGAGACTAATCAAAGATCAAACCATGACCTTTCTGAACAAAAATTATGGACCAGTTGCTTGCTTTTTCAATCTCTAAATATTTTGTTTAATCCCACTCCTTTTCGCAGAGCCATGTGACAGAATTTTGCATGCTTAAACGTTAGTTTGACTGCAGCCTTTCTGTGCAGACCTGGGGCTCTCAGTAATATGTAAGATAATATTTTACTGCTGGTTTCTTAATTTTGTTATACATTTTCTGTTTTATATTTGTTTGCTGCCAAAACAATAAAATAAATTTGTCAGAATTTACAACTTAATTAATTTAAAGAATTAATAACAGGTAAGAATACTAATTAATTTTAGTAACACCTTGACATACTATTGTGTATGCAGTATAATGCTGTGAGTTGTAACACTACAGTACAGTAATTAACTGTACACAGTTTCCAGTTAGTTACCACTACTGCTCTATTACAGTAATTAACTGGCAACACTGTTGCCAGCTACTCACTTTAATGGTTCAGTTACAGTAAACAACTGGCAACACTGTTGCCAGCCACTCACTGTAATGGTTCAGTTTCAGTAATTAACTGGCAACACTGTTGCCAGTTACTTACTGTAACCAAACTTTTACAGTGAGTAGCTGGCAACAGTGTTGCCAGTGTTCTTCTGTAAAAAAGCCTGGTAAGGTCTAACAGTGTACAAGATCAAATCATTTATCAAATAGCAAAAATGGTAGGTGCATGCTTTACTTAATATTCACAACACAAATGTAAATCAAGCACAAACATGTAATAACAGCAAGACCTAAAATACAGGCCGCAGGATTGTTTCTATTTCTAACAAGCAGCTTTGACTACTGATGGAAGTACTCTATAAATACTTGAAACACATTTGATTGATGCTTATAAGGCTAAGAGAAATTTACAAAAATATTTAGATAAGAGTTCAAAACACTAATTGGAGTGCATTAGGCTTGCACAGAAAAAACTTCTGTGTTAATGGTTTTATTCATTTTCCTACTGTGCAATGTTAAAGATACAAGAATGGTACAGAAGCTGTCAAAAGTTACATATTAGTACCTACTAAAAAAACTATTTATCCACCTTCAAGTCATTTCAGGTGGACAGTTTATCCCTTTCTGCTTTTGGAGAAAGACATGTGGAGCTACAGTATAGTAAATAATATGTCCTGTACTGGCTGTGAATGGTACCCAACATTGTGAAGCTTCAAAATGTGAGTTTAAGATGTAAATAATATAATAAATATGGATATTTTTCTAACAAAAACTAACTGGGCCCCATCATACACCCAGTGCAATGTTGTTTGTTGGTTTCAGCTGGGCACAGGTATCAGTTTCACATCCGGTGCCATGTTATTAAAAATAGCAAATGCAAGTTGTGTACCAATGGGGTGCTGGTCTTAAAAGAGATGTGTTAAGGCGTATTGTTGGTGTGTTGCTATTTTGTGGCAAATAAAATGGAAAGCACCATTGACCAACAAAATCTGGTTTAAAGTCAATGTTGCAGAGTTATTATTATTATTTTTTGTTATTTAAAGAATGCGTTAATGATGTGGGTATCTAGGCAGTTCCAAAACGCATGCACACCATGCTTATTACACATACAACATACAACGATGCGCAGCAGCACACATATGTCTTTGTGCTTTGTGAAAAATCAAAGAATTCAAATGTAAAAGAATGATAATTATTTTCTACATTTACATAAATATATATGAAGAGTTTGGATGCAAAAACCTCTAAGTGCCATCTGGAATTTTCTTCTACATTGAGCGTTTTTTCTTAGCCCCTAAAATCAATGTGCAGTTATTTCTTGTTAAAAGAGAAACATATTCTCTGCCATAAAAGTCAAATTACTGAACCTAAGCAAAGGAGCCTGAGAAAATGCTAATATATATATATATATATATATATATATATATATATATATATATATATATATATATATATATATATATATATATATATATATATATTAGCATTTGCAAATCTGGTAGTTCCATTTTTTTCCACTAACAAAATCTTCCAAGTAAATAGTAAATACGGCATGGTGCAACCACAACTCACTCTTAAAGGGAATGGGAGATAAGAATCTGGTTTTATGCATGTAACGCCCAAAACATACCTCATCACGAGAATTAGGGCAACACTAATGCACTTAGATTGTTATAATACTGCTCCTTTTTTCAATTGGCTATTATTATTCCACTGGGTTTGTATAGAAAAGTTTAATGATGAATGGATGAGTACGGTACAAAAACTCAGGCACCATTCACTGTCATTGCAAAGCTGGGAAGAGCCAGGATATTATTTAATATAACATATATAGGTGTAATTTGTTTACCTCAATCCTGTACTTGCAGAGCACCGGTCGAATGTATGAGGGCACTGGGATAACAACTCCATCTGGCTCATCTAAAACAGGGAGTGAGTGCTCTCCTGACTTTGAAATCTGCAGAATATTACAGCAGACCACATACTGCATTACACTCTGCATCTGATTTTTTATGTTAGTAGAGCATGAATACACAGCATAACTTTATATCCTTTTTGTAAACACTTTCCTTGAAGGGGTGTTCATAGGACTGTCATGAAGGAAAACCTCACTAATCATGACATGAATGAGATGCTTATGACAACTCTCATTATGTATCATTTTCTCAGTTATGTCATTTTAAATGCAAAGGTGACAGGTCTTTGTTATGACTTGATATTACCAAGACAACAAAACCTGTTAGTGTTATTTTTATGACAACTTGAAATTACCAAGACAACATAACAAGTCTGTCATAAACATAGTTGTCAGAATGCCATTATAACCAAGTCTTGAATTTTAGCATCAGTAATACTTTGCCATTAATATTGGCATTTGTAATATTTTCTTGAACATTTATTTGAAAGAGCATTGGCACTTTTTATGTATCATGTAGGGATTATAAAGGTGTCTTATGTCTTATGTACACCCCTTCAAGTGTTTTCTCTCTAAAGGCACATTGCTATCATGTGTTGTGTGTCAGACTGGACCTGAATGAGCTCAAAGGCCCCCAGTATGTCTCCTCCAGACAGGCTGCCACAGAACAGAGGGCTGTACTGCAGCTGAGGAGGAGAGTATTGCTCTTCTGATAGTTTGACAACAGGAACAGCCACCGTCGAGCCCAGGTACTCGCTACCCTGGAGAAAACAAACCAACGATTCAGGTCATTTGAACATTTGAAAAATATTGCTTAACATGGAACACCTATATCTGTGAATGTGGTTTCCTTACCACTGCATCATCATCATACACTTCAATCACAATCAGCGGTGGCTCCTGGGCTATGTCGTAAAGCCCTCCATATAGAGACATGTTAGTCATCTTGATCACCTGATTCCACGTGGGAGTCAATGTTTGCTTTATGATCTGAAAGAGAATATATATATATTATATGTGAATTTAAAAAAATATATATAAATTATATTATAAGGTTCTTTGCTTTATGGCAGAGAAGGGGCGACCCTTTTAACCACTGCAAGAGAAGCTGGTCTATTCTTCTTTGACTCTCGGCGAAGGTGGTCACACTTTTTACTCTCCCTCCCATATCTCTCCTGACTGGCTCCTCTTGTCTCGTTTAATTCTATCTCTGAGGCTCTCCTTGCCCTGCTCTTTAAAAAAATAAGGAATTATGGATTTGATCAACTGGTCTCTAAACCCAATTGGCACCATCATCTTGATGAGAAGTCTGGGTTTGGGGGAACCCAACTGTCCTGCAAGCACGTTTGCAGCTGGATACATGATGGACGGGTGGGAGAAGTGGCGCAAGGTGTGCCTGGCTGCTTTGTCCCTGGAGGATGTTGTAGATATCTATCTGTTTAGAAAATTTAATAACTTTGGTTTCGGCTGATAGGCTTAGGCGGAGCCATGGGGTATTGATGATTGAAGAAAGCGGTCAGTGCGGCTCAAATCCCCACCAAGTTGACCAGCTGGATTGAAACGGTGGTGAGCAGGGTTGTTACTAACCTGACCGTGGTTATAAACCGTAAATTGGAAAACATCGGGGGGAAAATAGCAGCCTTGCAATGAGATTTGAACAGACCTGGAGACAAGTGACGAACATTAAATATCTGCGAAATTGGCAGACCCAAATTTGAAAACCTGGATATCAACATTGTCATTAACCCATTCTTAACTACTCATGAACTCTTCATGCACGTCTGCCTAGTGCGTTTACACGAAATAATAATAGAAAAGTGTTCTGTCAACATCAACATGAACAGTTTAATCCCATGAGTTCATGAGTAGATAAGGATGAGTTAATTATAATGTGCCCCTTTGAGTAAAGTCATTACACTAACAGCTCATGAGTTCCTGATGGTTACATTAAGCTTAAACCTAAATGTTAATTAATACATTACTTAACAACATGTACTTGCAAGTAATAAAGGTAACTGTAATTCACACATAAACTCTGGTGACTCATGTTGCAGTTAAAGTTAGTTCATGATTAGCACATCCATTAACGCATCATTAGTTCATAATAAAATGTTTAGTTTACATATTAATACATCATTATTCATATGCTGTTATTGTGAAGTGTTAGCTAAAAAAAAAATTTTATTCCCCATCATTTCCTCCAAGGCCTAGATGCTTCTGCTGTAAAACTTTCACAAAGTTATTTCTTAAGAAAAAAACACACCAGCTTACGGGATCTGCATGACAGCTGTTTGAAGAGAATAAAGGGGCCATAGCCTATTTTAGACGTTTATACTTGTTTTTTAATAATAAAATACATTGTGTTATGTTTTGTTGCAGTAAGCTTTAGTATTTTGAGAAACAACAAGAAATAATTTTGCATTGTAACTACTGTCAAATCTTAACTGGAATATACAAATTGTGGGCAATATGCATTTATGTGTATTCCTAATTTAATTTATACAATAATCTTGATTTCATTTTAAATGCTTTAATTTTAAGACAGAATACATAACAAAAATCCTTAAAGGGTAACAAAGCACTAAAACACATTTTTTTGAGCTGTTGACAGTCGCATATGTGTCCCACACTGCTAAAAACACTATTAGGACATCTATATTTCACTAAAAAGTGTAAATTGGTTGTTTTTGCGTTATTTCAAGCAAATTCGTACTTCAGGTTTGAAACAAATTTTTGAAGCTGCGTCACGGTCATGACATAATAGCGTGTATTCCAGCGTGCAGACTGGGCGTCTGTGCCAGAGTGTGTCTTATTACGTCTTACAGTGTGATGCATTAATGCATGAGTAAAGCTTGGTTCAAACCAATCAGCGCTCTATTGTACAACTTCATTAATATTCATTACTGTCACAGTGTTTAGACGACAGAGACGTCACGTTGTGTTGGCAAAACAAGCGTGAATCTGTTTGCTGCAGTGAAGTTTTGTTTTCATTTTCTCTCTGTGAGAGCGCCGCTGGAGTCACGTGTGGATTAACAGTGTACGCGACGCTCGACAACAATAACTTAACTTGCGTGTCTAAGGAGGATTATTGTTTACCTGAGAGCTGTTCTCATCTGCAAACGCTGAGATCCTGATTCGCTTGTAGTTTCCTTTTATTAAAGACGCGGCTCTAGTTGCTGGTGATTGTCCTTTCTCTACAGATTTGGTAAGTGAACGACCAGTGCTCTTTGTTTATTCAGTTTGTTCGTATCGAACTAAGTTAACGATTGCACCAAGTGTAAACATATTAGCACCACAACCAAACTTTAACCTCGTGTAGGATTTTCGCCGCATTTTGTGATCAAAATAACACACGCGGCTTTCGGACACTACCTGCTGTGTGCATCTAAGTTTGCGGGAAATGCGGAGGGTTTTTTCCTCTCATTCGCGTGCGGTATCAAACATTGCATGAAAAATACACGCTTACAGCAGTTCCTCGAATCAAATATCTCGTTTGTCGCAAGGGGCATGAATGAATTCCCTAATTGAAAGAGCCAAACTGCAGTTAAAGTCCACCATTTAATAATTTGGCAAATAATTAGACAGATGTCCATGTAAACACCATCACTTTCTCCCGTGTGTGTGTTTGTGTGTGTGTGTGTGTGTGTGTGTTAGGGTTGTCAAAAATAATAGTTTTTTCGGTGCACTGCGATGCAGACGCGGACAATTCGGTATCGGTTCAGTAATAATCATAACCGGTTATTACAGATGTCATTTACCTCATATGCGCTCTGTCACGAGGGAGCAATCGCGAGTATTTACAGCGATTTAACTACTTATGACTCATAAACTGTGCACAATTTCACTGTGTGTGTTTGCTGGATCAGTCTTTCACTGACATATACAACAATTGCCCCTATTTCACTGAGATCGAAGGAATTAAAAGTAGCCTACTCCATTTCTCTCTCTCTCTCTCTCTCTCTCTCGCGCGCGCATGCTCTGTCTCTCTCTCTCTCTTTCTCACACACACACAGTGGCCCATTTGACCTGCTGGGGTGGCTTTTCTTCTCTTCTCGGCTGTTTTACAGCGCTACTTTTGCATCCAAAAAACGAGCACGTGTCTGCAGAGTTTTCTCCACCGTGTATCATACATCAGCTGTGAGATCGCCGCTGCCGCCTGCCGCTCAGTGTCACTCATCTGTGAAGAACGCAGCGCGCAAGAGCCAATTGCAACCGTTTTTTTTTTTGAGGGTGTGACCAATCAAAGGGATGTAAGAGAACTAGACAAGGATCAGAAATTGAGCTGGATATTTATATTTGTTTATATTATTTGCTAAATACTCGTTTTGTTTAAAGTTACAGTTTATGTATCTGACTGTTTGTATTAAATGACAAAATTGTATTACAAATAGTATATAAATATAAATATATTCATACATTTTAATACAAGAAATGCTGCTGTGTAGAAAATATAAAACTGTGTATGGAAAGCACCATCAATGCACCGTGATGCACCGAAATATCGAATTGAACCGAATCGATGGCATGATAATCGTAACCGAACCGAACCGTGAGACTAGTGTAGGTTCACACCTCTAGTGTGTGTGTGTTTTGACTCTGAAACTTGCGCGTGCCCAGATAAACACTCCCACACCATCCCACTTTAGTTCCTCCGACACTCCCCCCTAAATAGAGCTGGACACGCCCACTTCCCTGACTTTTTCCAAAATAGAGGTGTGAAAACACCCTGCTGAAACAAGCGGGTTTCATGGCCCTTTAAATTAAGAGGAATTGTCCTGTTAATTAAATCTAGTTTGTTGACCTTTTCACACAAAATAAGAAAGGGGAACTGTTTAAAAAGCAATTAACAAGCTAGTTTTAAGATAATTAGATTAAACTGACTGCTTGGAATAAGGTGGTCAAGCCTGGTCATTTTTCTTATTTCAAGAAATCTTTCTAAGTAAAATTATCTTACTACGCTGCCAGATCATTTGAATCGTGTCCAGTCTGTGTTTCATAAATTATTCATTTATTTCTCATATTCAGATGGTCATTATTCTACCATGTAAACTCGTACTTACACCAGTGCATTGGCTATGAGACAGAAAAGACACCCAGGCAAACGGGTCTGAGAGGCCAGTGTTGTCTGCTGCGATGAGTCCACGAGCCTGGTACATATGAGCCCTCAGCTCGAACATGTGCTGCTCTGCAAACCAACAACAAATAGGGTCAACAAGAAAAACATTCAAATCAGTGTCTTACATTTAGGAAGAATTGACATTTCTGTAGCTTTCTTGCCATTCAAACAGTAGAGAATTTCACCAACAAAGGGTGATATTGAGGTAAAAACAATGTACACCTTCAATGCAAGGTGAGCGACCTTGAATAAAAGTATCTATTACGTTCTATTTTCAATATTAGCTGAGCAGTCTTGCCTGTGTAGAGTAAATATTCAGGAGGAGCGCCAGTCCTATCCTCAAAAGAGGTGGACACAAGTTCAAAGCCCGACGGGAGATTGTCCAACATGCGGGATGACTCTGCGCAAGTTCCCAGCCACAAGAACACATCAAGTTTAGCCTGGACAGTCCATCCCGGTGCACGCTTCACTGGAGGCTAAACAACACATTTTAATGTTAAACTAGTAGTAGACAAATGTTGATAACCCTTTACGGTACTACATAAAACCCTATAAACTGTGAATTTAATAGAGTTCAGACCTTGAGGAACAGTGTCTTGATCTTCCCACAGTCTCTGCCTCTTTGCTCTGGGCTCTCTGAGAAGAGCAGGTCCCGAGCAGGGATTCTGGCATACGCCACACGCTTGTTATTACTGACCAGACACACAAACACATCTGGTAAAGTGTGTTGAGGCTGAGATAAGTGTGAGACAAAAATGAGTATTAGTAAATATGGAGACTTAGAGGTTGAGGATATGGATGTTACATAATGACAAAATAATAACAACCTCCTCCACCAGAAATCGCAGCTTCTTTTTAATTTTTTGAGCTTCCAGCAGCATTTCTTTCACAGTCAAAGATCTCCTCTTTGGCTCAAGAAGTCCTCCTGCCATTTCAGTCATACTCTCCTGCAGTTCAAGAAAACAAAGGGAAAGATTGGAGGAATTTACTACCAGACAAAGCTTAAATACACTTGACATGAATATGTTATCAATCTCAAAACATTTCAACATTAACATTTTGATTTTTAAATGACACTTTGATTAAATAACGGGAATACTTCATAGTTAATTCATAGTCACACATAGTAACACAGAAAGAAAGTTAGTCTGAGGTTTTAAAGGAACATGTCTTTTTAAAAAGCAGCTAACGAGGACAGCTAATGCATCCGACCTACCAGCTCCTGTTTGCACATAGTTAGCCTCTTTTTGTCCAGCAAGGTTAAATTGCTTCCCTTCACCTTTTTTTCAGCAAAAGCAATAAACTCCCTGCAGTGAACACAACATTAGATTCAGACGAAATTAGGTTATATTTTCAAAACAGATGGAGCACACATTACATATTTTATCCAAAGGAAAAAAAGCTTATCTTCACCCTCACGTGATTCAAATTAAACAATAAGAATTAATACAGTACTGTCCATACAATAAAATTGAGGGTGGCACAACACAACACCAACATCACATTGAACAAACGTTGATGGTATGGAGATATTTATTTTAAAATATCTCATTCTCCATTTCACAAATGAAAGTCATAGGCATTTGGATGACATGAGGGTGAGTAAATGATCAGATTTTTTTATTACCGATTAAACTACCCATTTATAAAGCTCATGTGTGATAGATTTTTCTTAAGCCATATGAAATAATCCATTTTATAGTAGTAGACTACCTCTACCTAAATTAACACCACGGTTACATCTATTGGCTGTTCAGAAAAAAAGTTTACATGTCAGATCACAAGTAACAAAAAAGTATAACAATATTATAGCTATATACTTTATACTTTAAGTATAAAAAAAGTCCGCATTACTAGCAAAAACTTGTGTTTTTTGTCCCAAATTAAAGGCATTGTTCACCCATTTTCATAGTGTCATCATTTACTCACCATTGACCCTTGAAACTAAAATATTTTGAGGTGTGTTTGGAAACATGCAACCACTGAGTACAAAAGTACAAAAAGCAAATATTATGGAAGTCAATGATTACAGATTTGTAACATTCTTAAAAATATCTTCTTTTGTTTTCACCACAACAAAAAACTCAAAACTTATTTATAACAAGTCAAGGGTGACTAAATGATGACAGAATTACCATTTTTGGGTATTTCTTTATTTAACTTTGAATTCCCCATTAACGTACTTGGCATCTCGTCTGAATTCCCGAAGAACGTGGTGCATGAGACTCCATGCTTCCGGAGATAACATTTTATCCAGCTCTGTGACCTTAGCGACTCCCTCTTCCTGACAAACATAAAATGGAAAATGGCTGCATGAACTACTAACCGATTACAAAGTAATTTTCTGAAACAATACTTATTGAAGGATCACATACAAACATGAGGGCAATTGTGTCTAGCATGTTGGCGTGATGAAGTCGGTACGCTCGATCCTCCCAGCTACTGTAAACATACACACAGGGCTTCTGTGCAGCGATGGGCAAATGCATATAATGCCTGCAAAAAAAGATTATCAGTTTTGTTTGGTTCATGACAAGAACTAGCTCTCAGCAACTAACGCATGGTCGCCCACTAAAGTTAAGCAGGGCTGCACCCGGTCAGTGCTTGGATAGGAGACCACATGGGAAGGCTAGGTTGCCAGCAGGGGACATCCAACCTGCGTTCTGTGTGGGTCCTAATGCCACAGTTGAGTGACCGGGACTCTATACCAGGGTTCAAAAATCTTGGAGAGCCGGTGTCCCTGCGGGGTTTAGCTCCAACTTGCCTTAACGAACCTGCCTGGATCTTTCAAATATACCTAGTAAGACTTTGATTCGCTTGTTCAGGTGTGTTTGATTAGGGTTGAAGCTAAAATCTGCAGGACACCGGCCCTCCAGAAACAAGTTTGGTGATCCCTGCTCTATACTGCTAAGCAAGAGGTTAAAACCGAGGTCCCAACTCATTAAAAATTCCAGGATGTTCTTTGAAAAAAAAGTAGGGGTTTATCTTGCCCACTGGCCTCTGTCCATCATGGCCTCCTTACCATCTCAGTACCTCCCCCTCCTCAGAAAAGCAGCATGTGTATGAAGATCTATACTGTTATAAGTGACGGTGTTTTCATGACCATTTACAACCCTGGAAGAAATTAGACTCCACCCTTAAGTTGTTCAACTGATTTGGGATCAGTTCAGGAAAGATAAGGAGCAGGTCCCACCTGAATCTAGAATTCTAATTCTCAGTTTTCTCATGACAGCCCCTCTCTGGCAAATTCCCCTGAGGAAGGACCTTCTTTCTCAGGGATGGGGGCAATCTCATCCAGACCTCTGCAACCTCCAAGTGTAGTTTCTAGGCAAGATGCGCATGATTTAAAAGGCCTAATGCCAGTGGTAGTGTATATGATCACTCAGCCTAGAGCTCCCTGGACAAGGCTTGCCTATTGCCTAATTAGGAGACTGTTTGTTGAGTGGTATTCTTATCGAGAAAACACCCAAACTAGCCTGGCTAGTGTTGTAGTAAGCTTCATGATAGATATTCATGAGGCATTATGTCTTACCGACTACAATGCTGAACTGCCACCAATGCTTGGCTCCTTATCACATAAAAATTGGCCTGTTTTTAAACAAAATCAGAGGGATGTGTCTCCTAGGTAGAGTCCTTAAATTGTCACAATTTACCATCCTCATTCTGTCTTTCAGGTTAAATCGATAACTATAATGTTTCACATGCACATACTATGTACTTATCATAGTCCTTACATAAACTAGTTACTACCCATAAACAAGATACTATCACTATGCCTGAACCTACCCCATATAATAACCTCATATAACCAGCCATTTCTTAAGAGAGAACATTGTAAGTAAATTAAATACATGTACTGTTTTAAGTAGCAAGCAAAAACCCTCATCCTAACAAAACCCACAGTTAGTTAGTAAACAAAATTAATGAACATTACTTAATACTTACATGTATAGTATAGTTAAAATATAACAGGATAACTGTTAAATAATGTGTTGCGGTATTTTCTTTATCTGATAAACGTATAAAGAGATGTTTGATCTAACAACCTCTGTGCATCTCCAAAAATAGGCCTTTCTGGTGTTGTAGTGGATTTGCAGGGCATTGTGGCTGTAGTGTCCAGTAGAGGAGCAGTCACTGACACATCCTCAAGCTTCTTCTTTGATGGAGGTGGTGCAGCACCATCAATTAAGTTCCCAAAGTTACCTGGATAGACAAGTTCACATATTATGCCAACAACCTTTTTTTCTTTTTTTATATATAAATGACATAAATCATGCCTTACTAAATGTTGTCCTATCATATAAATGTTCTAATATCTTCCCAATTTGACAATCCCAATAATTGACCAAATTTTGCAAAGAGGTTTTTAAGTCGCATGGGGTGAGTCTTTTCTCTGGTTTTATCCTCGAAGCAATGGTCAGACAGAGAGGGCCAATTTGGATATGGAGCAGGTGTAATGTTTGGTTTCTCAGAGCCAGTCTTGAATCCAGTGGTTTTCATGGGTGGAGTACACACTATTTGGCAGTGTCATCTAAAGGCCTATCTCCACTTGAGTTTAGCTTAAGTTATCAGCCAACAATTTTCCCTAGACTGCCAATTCTAAGTCACTGTCCCATCTACCAATGCTTTTACCCAGAGGTGCCGCACCACACCTAAGGGAAAGCCAGATCGGCTTTCTCCTTTAGGTGTGGCTGTGCATTAAGGCTCAGTGAGATCACCACTGGTCGAAGCAATGTCAATTGTGAAAAACTTTGGCTTTCTTCCAAAGATATCCATCTCTACTCTGCATATAACAAGCTTGCTCTCAAATTTAGTGGCCCATTTAGTCTCTAAAATCCTTAGAGCAGTGGCAGTTCCCATTTAAACCTGCTGCAGCAAACATGAGCCTTTTTTTATTCTTTTATGTTTCTGAATTAAAGTAAGTTTTTTATTCCCATTTTAATCCACATCTTCCAGTTCCCCAATGTAACATTTTGAAAATAGGCAGCCTACTTAATCAGTCAAACATTTTCTGCACTGGAGCCTTGAGAGGAGATGTAGATTCCAGTATTTGGTCTTCTGAGAAGGTTATGGCCTGGAGGAGAGATGCTTATCCCTTATCTGTGATTTAATTTCAATTGACAGGTAAGAGACCCTCTGATAGTGCCAAGAGGTGCTCTTAAGAGGAGGGGTACAGTCACATTCATGCTACCACCTGCTGCCACAAACTTGAACTTTCTGTCTTGTTAATTCAATAAAACTTTATGGCAATCTCTACTGGATCCTCTCTATATTTTTGGCAGACTTACTATGAAAATTTTCTAAAGATTAAGCAAACTAGATAAAAAAATTCATGTGATATTTACCAATCGTAAACTCTAGGGTGACTGGTCTATCGCCAATTTTTCTGTCGATCATGGATGCCTCAAATACACAACCAAAGAGCAGGAAAGTCTCCATGTCTTCATCTCTCATCTAAATTAAAAGGTAAAACATCACTTGACTGACTTTGTGTACTTACTTTCTTTTTGTTGTATTTCAAACAATGGGGGAAAATGAGGACAGAATAAAAGTATAGAGTAAAAAGTAGAAGAACTGCTGCAAACACTTCACCTTCTGCGGGGGCTCCACTGGGATCACTTCAGGTCCTATCATCTTGGACTTCTCCTCTTCACCTCCTGCTCCTGTACCAGTTTTCCCACCCTTGGCATCTTTTGGACTGAACTTTGAGAGCAGAGATTTGGATTCAGCAGCTCCTCCAGACAGGATTTCTACACTCAGCTCTATGTAGAGTCTGCCTCTGTAGGACACCCCTTCACCAACACCTTCGTTCAGTTCCTGGCTGTCATCCACCAGTGTGGAATTTCGAAGAGAACCATAGAGGTTGATCCAGGCTGGCCCAAATGTGGGCAAGAAACCTTGAATTATGAAAGAATGCTAATTAATTACTAAAATGTGCATACTGGTGGCTGATATTTTGCTTTTCTAATGCAAAATAACTATTATGCACACTACACTCTAAAACCTAAAGGTGCCATGAAGATCCAAAAGAGTATTTTCACAGTAATGCCATAAAAGGACCTCTTTGATTTCCAAAAGAACTTTTACTGAAAAGTTTTTCACTGTGAAGAGCATTTTCTTAATCTAAAGAAGCTTTTACCACTTGAAAATGAATAAATAGATATTATAGATGATAATAAAGATGCCAATAAAGAACCTTTGTTTTTACGCGCATTTATCAAAACAATTTTTAACAATGTAAGCAAATGGCATACCATTGTCTCCATCAGTGTCATTTGATATGGTGTGCAGGTCAATGTAATGAGTCCCAATGGCCACATCATTCATGCTTCCTTCATCCAGAACCCGAATCTTTAGTCTCTGACACAGTGGAGGAAACATCTCCTTAAACACCACCTGCTCATTCCACACTGGATCTGCTGAGCTCTTTTGGGTTGAAGTCCTTCCCTTTCAAGTAGGAAAGTAAAAAAGGAGCGTCAGAAAGAATTGTTACTCAGGCCTTGCTTTATAGGTTACAACCGCACTTACTGACCTGTCCTCACCAAGGATGATAAATATAATGATATAACCATGACGATATAAAGGTTGCAAAATGATGAACCATTCTATGCAGTTTTTAAGGAAATAGTCCAAGTAGTGTGTTCACATTTACAAAGATTTTTGTGGGGTTCTGAGATCCCCAGGGTACCCCAAAGGACCCCTAGGGTGTCCGTGGAATATACATATTTAGCACACTGCTAAAAAAAAATCAAAAATCACCTTTCATTTAAACAGAATAGGTCTTCACTTACAAAATCTCTACAAAGGCATTGCACCACAATTAGAAATTAAAGCAACAATTAAGTTGAAGAACCACATTATATAACTGTAAATACTTATTCATTATATATAATTATTCATTCTAAAATAATACTGGATTCAGTTAAATAATAATGACAAGTGTATTCGTTTTGTAGTAAGCATTAGATTGTGAACTTACAACTTGACCAAAGAATGACACCTCAACATAAGGATCAATGAGGGCTGTTGTGTCTCCAACAAAAGCTTTGGTCACATTGGCCATAATACTGGAGTTTATTCTGGGAAGACCTTCTGCTCGGTACACGATCACATAAAACCGAGCCCACGGCCGCTCCGGGTTTAAGCCTTCAGGAAGCAGGAGGTGCCTGGGGGAAGATGAACCTTTACATATATTTCTTGTTTGATATTATTGGGGGAATTAAGAAATCCAAATGATCTGTTGACATCTATTGTAAGTCTGGGGTGCCCAAACTTGTTCCTGGAGAGCTGGTGTCCTGCAGAGTTTACTTTTAACTAGGGCTGTGCGTTTTAGGGTAAATATGTAATTGCCATTTTTCTGACAGATATTGCGATTGTGATTGTGATTTAATTTTATAGTCAAACTTCAGCCCAGTAATTTGTAAGCCGTGGCAACAATTCTGCGACAGCTCTCAAATATTATCTGTTTTTGTTCGGTGTCTGTGACTTATAATATATGAAATTATTCCCAATAATTATTATTGATAATTAATTATTATGATAATATTCCTGTATTATCGATGTCCTGTTTATTATATTAATTTGCCTATTAATGCTTTTGAAGCAGCAGATGACATTATCCCAATTGTCCACGTATTGTCTGGTTGCACAACTCGGATTGGGCAGAACAAAAGTGTGCTCACTGAATTGGCTAGAAAGACTGTCACACAGACGGCAGTCAGGCATTTGTTCTGGGCAGGGAAAGTTAAATAATGCATTTATATTTCATATTGCAGCCTCTTGCGATTAACTAATCGCAATCTTTTAAATTGCAATTCTATTTTGTTTAATCGCACAGCCTTAGTTTCAACCCTATTCAGACACTCCTGAACTAGCTAATCAAGCTCTTTCTAGGTATACTAGAAACTTCCAGATAGGTGTGTTGAAGCAAGTTGGAGCTGAACTATGCTGGACACTGGCCTTCCAGGACTGAGTTTAGGCATCCCTGTTGTGAGTGATCAAAGTACAATAAAAACATCCAGCAAGTTTTACAACTCAAATCTTTCTTGTCTAAAACAGACGATACTGAATCAATCTCACAAAATGAGAGGGTGTGGAATGAATAGCTTTAAGTATGTAATAGAGTGGCTAAGCATATAATGAATTATAGGTTAACGACTGCTACAGAAAACCCAAAATAATAGCATAGAATTTTTTTAAAGATGCATTCAACATCTAGATCTTACTTATCAATTTGTTCCTCGGCATCACTGAATTTCTGAGATGGTGGTGCAACATCTCCCTTTCCAGACACACTGATATCACACTTCAGGTAACCTTTCACCCCAACACGGATGTCGGCAGGGTCTGTTAGTGTGGCCCACTTATTGATGAACTGATGCCCTGAGACAACAAGCACAAGATATTTGCTTATAAAACGAAAAATAAATAAATAAAAAAATCCCCAACTTCTGACACTGCAAACCAAATAGTTACCAGGTTGAGAGTAAACTGTCCCAACATCAATCTTGAACGTTCCCACACAGTAGCTCTTCATAATCTTTGAGTGCATGACCTTTGGGGGAAGTACATTATTATGAGCTCTATAGGTTATGTTAATAAACTATTGTTCATGTTAATACTTACTGATAGTTTAATGACTTTGTCAAAAAAGATGTCTTGATTGCAATATATGTCAAACACAAAATACTGTTGGGTGAGAAAACAAAGGGTATTAAAAATTGTCCGTAAAGCCTTTTGATTTCAGCGATTGTCCAAAAGTTAAAGAGAATGATCACCTCATTGTAAAAGGGAGCGTTGGTTCCTTCTTTCACCGATGTCTGCTTTTTATCATCTCCAATTTCAATCACAACACTAGGGTCTATATTGTCCCCAACCAGCTGCCTGATCTCTGTTATATTGATGGAAATCTTAGGAAGAAAATATTTTAGCATCTCTAGGTACTGGCGAGGTCACTAAAACTGTTAAATTCTTATTTTTTTATTGTAAATGTAACAAATTCTACCTGGAAATTTTGTGGTTTGCTTTCACCTTCCAAGATCTTGGATACAGCTTTACATCTTTAAAAGTAGAAAAAAAGTAAAATGATGAACATATAAACTTACAAGAATGAACACATTCCACTATTCAACAATTGGAGAGGAAAACAAGACGTGCCTCTTAGTATTGGCAATCTGTCTGAAAGAAGTGTGGGCCGAGGTGGACTGTCCTGCAAACTCGGGCTGTGGTACATCTATCACGTCTGGATCTTCAGGATTAGTTTCAGCCTCAGCCTCTATCGTGTAACGATTAAACCAGCTCAGTCACAACTGGTTTACAAGCAAACCTTTGGTAGCAGTAGCATGTTTGATTTGTCTGTCTATTCTGTATCAACAAAGCAAGGCTGATAATCCTTGAGAAATGATCAACATCTTTACTTGTCACCATTCTTACTTACAAATGTTTGCTTTCATGGCCTTACCTAGAGCACCTTTGTTTGAGATTACAACACCCTTGTGTCCTTTCCGATGTTTCTTCTTTACTTTTATTCCAAACTTCTTGCTACAAAAAAGAAGTATCAGACTCTGTAAGCCATACAGTAGTAAACAAAGTAAATAAAAGCACAACATTTGCTTTTAATTACCCTACAAGTCTAATTAAAGGTATAGTTCTATCAAAAATGAAAATTCTGTTCTCGTTTACTCACCCTTTACTAGTTCAAAACATTTGAGTTTCTTTTTACCACATGAGGGTTTTGAAAACATGAAGACATGTTATTCTGGGAAGAGGACAACGCAAATTTTTGCTAAGGTATTAACCATTGTGCATTCATTTAAAAACGTCGCACATACAGTAGGTCTATTGGAGGACAAGAAATATCATGTATTTTAATAGTATATTTAAATATTATTAATCTTCCACTTATGTAGATTTATCAGGAGATAACTACCAATTCATTCATTTCAACGATTTAATTTTTGAACCCTTTAAATGACAGTTTGTTTAGATAAAGACTTGTGGTAAAGTTTTAATTAGTCCTAAATGTGTAAGTTTTGTCACACTTACATTTAAGGTACAATTCCCACAATTAACAAACCAATAACTGTGATTTTTTAGCTCAATAATCTAATCCTAACCTGGGCAAAGTCTAGAAGAGATAGATCTGTAGCCGAAAGTTAACAATAATTATTTAAATGACAACAATGCGATTACTGTGCAACAACAGTTGTTGTTTATACATTACTGTGTGGGTATAGGTATACATTAATAAATTACAATTTAATGGGTAATTTATTCAATAATATGAATAAATCTTGGTATGTTTAAAATACTTGATATATGTTTTTCCATTATGTGGCTTGGGTGGTTTTGGGGTTGGGGTAGCCATTAAAAAAATACAATTTAATGGGTAATTTAATGTAATTCTATGAACAATTCTTGGTATATTTATAATACTTTGAATGGGGTGCTCTGGTTTCCCCTAGCAGTCCGAAAACATGTGGTATAGGTAAATTAAGTAAGCTAAATTGTCCGTAGTGTATGTGTGTGAATGAGTGTGTATGGTTGTTTTCCAGTGATGGGTTGCAGCTGTAAGGGCATCCGCTGCGTAAAACAAATGCTGGATAAGTTGGCGGTTCATTGCGCTATGGCGACCCCAAATTAATAAAGGGACTAAGCCAAAAAGAAAATTAATGAATGAATGGGTAAATCAATAGATATTATGATTAATTCTTGATATATTACAATACTTGGTATGTGTTTTTTTGTATTGCAGCGTTGGTTGGGTAGATGTTAAAAAAATGATAATTTAATGAGTAATTTAATAAATAATATGAATAATACGTGGTTTATTTATAATACTTGCTGTATGTTTTTACATTAGTGTCTGGGTTGGGTGTTTTAAGGTTGGGTAGATATTAATAAAATACAATTTAATGGGTAATTTAATAAATAATATGTTAAAAAAATGATAATTTAATGAGTAATTTAATGAATAATATGAATAATACGTGGTTTATTTATAATACTTGCTGTATGTTTTTACATTAGTGTCTGGGTTGGGTGTTTTAAGGTTGGGTAGATATTAATAAAATACAATTTAATGGGTAATTTAATAAATAATATGTTAAAAAAAATGATAATTTAATGAGTAATTTAATAAATAATATGAATAATACGTGGTTTATTTATAATACTTGCTGTATGTTTTTACATTAGTGTCTGGGTTGGGTGTTTTAAGGTTGGGTAGATATTAATAAAATACAATTTAATGGGTAATTTAATAAATAATATGAATAATACTTGGTATATTTATAATATTTGATGCTTTTACATTACTATGTGGGTTGGGTGTTTTCAGATTGGGTAGATGTTAATAAAATGCAATTTGATGGGTAATGTAATAAATAACATGAATAAGACTTGGTATGTTTTTACATTACTGTGTTGGTTTATGTTTAAGTGGACAGTAATAAAATACAGATAATGGGTAACTTAATAAATAATATAAATAATTCCTGTTAACATCTGGCAGCAGCTGCATCCCTTCCAGCAATAACCTCTAATCTGCTGCTTATTTATAGTCATTAAGTTAGTAGTTGGATTTAGGCATTGGGTTGGATTTGGAATCTATGTATTTAAAAAACAGTGCAAAATATGTACTTTAAATATTAATAAACAGCAAATATCAAGTTAATAGTGAGGAATGCTACTTAAACTAAAGTGTTACTGTTACTTTGTTAACCAAATTATATTTATGGAAGCAAATAAGGGAAAAATATTACAAGTTCTATATCAAAAAAATGCCTATTTTGACAAAGTTTAAATTAAGTTTAACACGTCGCTATTTAGAAAACACATTAACAACTCATATTGCAAAGACCAAAGAACTCACCCATGGGGTGCAGAGCTGTCTTTATCTTGGTCCATTCTCGTAGGAGGATTTCATTCAAAGAATTCAATATCCCGCTCAGATTCTGTGACTGCAAGCCACTATATCCAGCAAGACAGTGAGCTGCACTTCCTTCCCAAATGTCTGTTTGACTTTCTGTTGCTGAACGATTGCATTACAAACAGGGGTGGCATGTGTGTGTTTTTAGGAAAGTCAGTGGAGGCCCATGAACAGCATTTACAATTACTGTTAATTCAACAAAACACTTCGCTGCCAAAAATAACATACAAAGTCGTGTGGTGAAACATATAAATTTATAGCAAAGCAGCATATAATGATTTTAAGGTGGGTAATGTGATGCATGATGTGCATGCTTAAACATTCTTCCTTATCAGAATGAAAATATCACTGAGGCCATAAAACAACATCTGACAATCGAGCTTCTCCATCTGCACTTTGCTTATTCTATATAAAAGCAAGCGTATATACTCAATACATAATGAATATCATTCACTAAAACTGCAAGTTTACAGCATTCATTTAAGTTAATGTAAAATTCTTAACATGCTATTGTTTAATGTAAATAGCTTAATGTTCAACTTGTATAATAATAATATTAATGGTAGCACTTTACAATAAGGTTGTACTAGTTAATGTGTAATGCATGTATTGTATATATGTTATTTAACATTAGTTAATGGGTAACACTTTACAATAAGGTTTATTAGTTAATGCATTTACTAACATGAACTAATCATGAACAACACTGGTACAGCATTTATTAATCATAATTGAACATTTACTAATGCATTTATTAGCATCCAAGTCCATGCTTGTTAACATTAGTTATTGCACTGTGAGTTAACATGAACTAACAATGAACAAGTGTATTTTCATTAACTAAAGTTTACTAATATGAATAAATACTGTAGTAAATGCATTGTTCATTGTTTGGTCATGTTAGCAGATGCATTAATTAACATTAACTAATGAACATCATTGTAAAGTGTTACCAAATAAGGAAAACACAGTTGTTCATGGTTAGTTCATGGTGCGTTAATGTTAACAAGCACCAATGTTAATAATGCATTAGTAAAAGTTGAACTATAATTTTTAATGGTTAAGAAGTGTTGTTCATAATTTATGTTAGTAAATACATTATCTAATGAAACCATATTGTAAAGTGTGACCATAATAATAATAATACTAATAATATTAAAAGCCAACACTGCTATCGTTAGTACATGCTAAGTATTGCCTTGGGTAACGTATAAACATGGGCTTATTGTAAAGCGTGTAATTTTATTTGAACATGCATTAAAAGACAGCATCAACCAATTAAGTTCTTATTTTAAGTATGTAATTTAAATCTGTGTCTTAATTAATGACGAAGGTGTTAGCTACATACTGAAATGCATGTTCAAATTGGTCAGCAGCACACCTGATGCAAATTAGGCTGTTACACTGTTTGCTGACAGTGAAAAGCAGGATGTACAAGGATACACCTCTGGTAAATATATGCACCAAATATGCTACTCAAACATTGATCTCTGTACTTGTCATCAGCAGGCTGAATCATTTTTTATGTTTAATCATGTGCTAAAATATAAAAACAAAATGTCACAAATAACATTTAAAAAAATATAGAAATTACACAAGCATGAAATATGTAATTTCTTTAATAATTTGATTTTACAAAGAGATTTTACTCTAACAACTTCTTTAATGCTCGTGGAGCAGCAACTTACTTAATGGACTACGGAAGGCATTCTGCCGAAACATCTGTTTTGTAACACCTAAGAATGTAGAGATATCTCATCGTCCACTTTATTAGGTACACCTGTCCAACTGCTCGTTAACGCATATTGCTAATCAGCCAATCACATGGCAGCAACTCAATGCATTTAGGCATGTAGACATGGTCAAGACGATCTCCTGCAGTTCAAGCTGAGCATCAGAATGGGGAAGAAAGGTGATTTAAGTAACTTTAAACGTGGCATGGTTGTTGGAGCCAAACGGGCTGGTCTGAGTACTCAAAAACTGCTTATCTACTGGAATTTTTACACACAACCATCTCTAGGGTTTACAGAGAATGGTCTGAAAAAAAGAAAATATCCAGTGAGCGGCAGTTCTGTGGGTGCAAATGCCTTGTTAATGTCAGAGATCAAAGGGGAATAACCACTCATTACAACCGAGGTATTCAAAAAAGCATCTCTGAATGCACAACACGTTCAACCTTGAGTCAAATGGGCTACAGCAGCAAAAGACCACACAGGAAACTGGATAACTGAGGATAACGCGCCATGTCATAAAGTGCAAGCCATCTCAGGCTGGTTTCTTGACAAACATGACAAAGAGTTCACTGTACTTCAATGGTCTCCACAGTCACCAGACCTCAATCCAATAGAGCACCTTTAGGATGTGGTGGAACGAGAGATTGGTATAATGGATGTGCAGCTGACAAATCTGCAGCAATTGCGTGATGCTATCATGTCAATATGGACCAAAATCTCTGATGAATATTTCAAGTACCTTGTTGAATCTATGCCATGAATAATTAAAGCAGTTCTGAAGGCAAAATGGGATCCAACCCGATACTAGTTAGGTGTACCTAATAAAGTGGCCGGTGAGTGTATAAAGTGTTTATTTATTAAGTGCAGAAAATTACCTTCTGAATAATATTAACAAGAATAAAGCACCAAAAATAAAAAAAATAAAACGTTAGCGAGCAGTGCCAGCTTCATTACTATTATTAAAAACAAAGCCTTACTGTTGCGTTGTTAAATTATTAATATTATTAACTAGCGTCTTTAATTACAGAAATCACAACATTGGTGTAGAGTGCCTATAAAAATATATTAGAAAATATTTCACCTGTGTAACGCTTGGTTACTCAAGAATTCCTGAATAAAACTGTCCAGTTAATGTGTATTGCAGGCCTGGATCAAGCAAAGTATTTTAAAAAATACATTAAATACAATTTTACATATACATTAAATACAACATGACTGACTGTTTTGGTTGGAAAAGAGGCTTATTTGTCAGCTGTGGTCATGTGAACTTTGAATCTGCCCAAATATGAATTCTGAACCAATAAGTTACCTACTATGTGCTAAACTTGTGTCAGATGGAAAGAAAATCCTAAGACATTCATTTCTATTCAGCTTAACAAACACTGTCAAAACATCTTGAATGGCTTGGGAGAGAATAATGAGGAAATGTTTAGGTGAACCATTCAATTAAGTTTCTAGAGTTACTATTATTACATAATTATTATTAATGTCTGTAGTTTTATCTCACATAAAATTAGCATGATACAATTGATTTTGTGGCAGTTGTTTAATAAATTATACATATATACAGAAGTAAAATTTCTAAATGAGATTAGACATGTTTAAAGTGATGAGTAAAATCCCAAAGTGCCACCAACATTACACATATTTACACTTTCTGTCTTCGAGCATTCGACTTCATGGCTCATTTTGGTTTGTGACAAAATTCTGGAAAATAAAACGAACAAGTATTAATCTTCATTTATATTTGATCTACACTAATGTCCATGCACCTTTTTTGGTCAACATTATAAACAATTCTTCTCTTATGTAACAAAATATTTGCAGACTATATATGAATAACATCTCCAAAGACCTGAACGATTCATGCACTCTTAAGCAAACATTGTACTCTTTACCTGATGACAACAGATAAATACACTCTTAGCAAAGTCATTACTGGGGCGGTCTCATTTATAATTTAAAATATATAAATATAATCTGTAAAGGTGTAATATGAATCATAAAGATACTAATGCACAACCATTCAGGGTAAATAAGGTACAATGGTGGACCTTTTTAAAGTCTACTGCTCTAGTGGCAAACTTTGTTGTGGTTGTATAACCCTCACAAACAGTAGTTTACTAAAAACAATTAAAAGAAACATTTTTGGAAAGATACAAATGAGAACAGTCAAAACAACAAAACAATCCCTGCCTACATGGATCTGTAAAAAAAAATTAAGGCTAAAAATGTTGTATCATGCATGCCAAACTACTTGGTGATGCTGTACAACACAATCCCATAGTCAATTGTTGTTTATTTTCCACTGTCAAATATTTGTGCATCCCTATACAAAATACAAATATACTGCACACAAATGGGCAAAAAGCATAAAGTTTTTAGTTTGAAAATGATTTCATGTGAGCGTATTATAGTTTACATAAAGAGGTGTGTACAGAAACGGAGGGACTTTTATCTGGAGGATTATTACAGCAGTCAGCAAACAACTCTACCTACCTGCTGTGAGAGGATGTGAAATGAGTGTCATGAGGGAAACAGAGCCCTCCACTGGTGTCAAGAGAAAAGTGCTTCAACGCCTGCAGGAGTCAAGACCAGTGCCTGAAGCAAATCCGAGAGCGAAACAATTCCCCTCACCACATCTTCTGTGTCCACCAGCACTAGACGGTGAACCTGACATAAAGAAGTCGGCAACATAAAAGTCCTTGAATGCCATTACATAGAAACACTCAAGAAATAAGATCACTTTGAAAATCTTTGTTCAAAGACCTCTGCCTCTGCAATGCGATCAATGACAGTTTCGAGGGTTTCGTGAGGGTAACACTTCAGCACCCCCTCAATGCAGCACCAACGCCCCTGAATGGCCTCCGCCATCGTCATGTTCAAGTGGTTGTAGGTTTTCTGCGCAGCCAAGTTCTGTTGAACAATCAGCTAAATGTAAATGCAGATGATACTAGTGTTCAATTTAATTTACTGCATGTATCTTTGTTTTGCATGCATTACATGATTTTTGTTTTCTTTTGTATTTGTGTAATTTGCAACACAGGCTCGTTGTGAATATGTATCCCTGTATATATTTATATAGAACACAAGTTATGTAGCCAGGAGGTACATATGGCTGCATTTCATCTTTCAAACGAACGCTACAGGGTAGTATGATGCCGCTGTTTCATTTTGCGCTACCAGCTGACCGCTTACCTCCATGTGGACGGCTTTTGCGCCGTTACCAGTTTGCCCAGTAGCTCGCCGCGTACGTTGGCGGACTTGGGAGGCAGAGTGGAGTTGACCGTGATGACAGGGTTTGAGTCTGGCGAAGAACGGTTCGAGAAAGCAGGTAAGGCAAAAACAAAAAATAAAATAAACTAGTAAATAACGGTGAAAATGTGGTAAGATCTAAAAACTTGTTAAAAATCAGGCGGCTTCTCTTTTTTTGGATTGCTTTTAAAAACTGTCAGTAAAAGTAGACACAGCAGCTTTTGGTGGATGTTCGCAGGAAGATCTGCCGCAAATGACAATCGTGAGAGAAATTTGAGATCTGAAAAAGCGCACACAGAGGCCTCTGGTGGATTTACGCAGGAAGAGCAGTCACGAATGGCACTGGTAAGAGATATTTGATATCTGAAAAAGGGTACACAGCAGCCTCTGGTGAATTCGCAAAAACAAAAACTGCAAAAAAACAAAAAACGTACCTCCTGGGATGTAATTCACGCTCTCAAAAAATGTATACAGGGGCACGTAGCCATAAACAGCCTGGGTTGGTAATTTGTGTATCTCTTAGCCTAATAATAATAAAAAAATTACTTCATGTTTAAGTTACACACATTACATGATATGGTAACACTTAAGGTCACAATTCACAGTATTAACAAACCATTGACTAACATTACTAGCTTTAATAAACTACTAATTATAGCTGTTTATTAAAAGTAAGTAAGGTTCTGGGTTTAGGTTTTGGGTGGGATTAGGGTTGTAAAATAAGATCATACTTTATAAGTCCTTATAAAAGGTGAATATCTTACTAATAGTCAATTATTAAGCCAGCTGTTAATCTTATGAATTGTGATCCAAATTAAAAATTGTTACCCATGATACAAGTCAAAAACAAAAAAAGCAACAAATAAATTAATTAATTAATTAAGAGGTGTGGATGTGGGTCTACGTACAATGACATCAAATCTGGAGTAAAGTGCCACTACTTTGCCTAGAGAGAAGGAAAAATCTCAATGACCACTCTGAAGTAAAAGGTGTGCAATTCATTTAGCTACAGAAAAACTAACTCAAACAGTTATGCGTAGTACCTTGCTCATTGACCACAGGTAGAGCTGAGACTCGTCGCTCTACAAATATTGTTAAAGCATCATAAACGGTTTCTGTCTCCTTGACAGTCGCGATGCTCTTGAAAGTCCCGATTTCCACTTCCTCAATCCGCTTCTGTAAGAATCGTGGCTTTGGGATCATCGAGCCCTAAGATTCACCAAGAAAATGTTCATCATTAAAAACACAGTTATGGTTTAACCCATTGTACTAGGATACACATTAATGGTGGCAAACATACACTTGAAGTAATTTGTAGTCATTTTGGATATTAACAATCTGTAATTTCTAACCATATTACATATTTCATTAGCTAAATGATGGCTAATATGTCAAACCCTCATGTAAGATCAGTTTAGTAGTGGGTTAGGGATGTACCTTAAAGAGATAGTTCACCCTAAAATAAAAATGGACTCATCATTTACACAAACACTCAAGTGGTTCTAAAGCGTTATTTTTGTGTTTAATATTAAAAAAAGAATGCTGAAAACATGTCACTTCCATAGTAGGAAAAACAAATACTATGGAAGTCAATGGTTACCTGTTTCAAGCTTTAAAAAAACTCATAAAGGTTTGTAACAAGTGTGGTGTAAACAGTAAATGATGATATAATTGTTATTTTTGGGGTGAATCATGTCTTTAATGTCTTTTTTATTATTTTAAAAGCATGATTTGTACATTTTCATACAAATCACAATTTAAAATCATAAAAAACGGACATATTGTACAATAATTTTTTATGAGACTGGAATGTAAGAGTTAAAGGGGTGGTCCACTACAATATTATATTTTAAACTTTAGTTGATGATTAATGTAGCTGTGTGAACATAAACAACATCTCTTAATAAGACGCTCAAAGTTCAATGCAAAGGGAGACACAATAGCTGCGTCCCAAATGGCACACTATACACTATGCACTCATGCACTATGTACTTATGCACTTACACACGCAACAGGATAGTATATGTATTTAGTGGCATCCCAAATGGCACACTAATGTTTTTTTTACCAAGCGGAAATTCAAACCGTTTCCCTGAAGACGTTTGACGGTTGTAATGTAAAAATGTAATGTAATGTGTATTTATATAGCGCATTTGTTGTGTATGGCCATACACCCAAAGCGCTTCACAATCATGAGGGGGGGTCTCTCCACTTGGATGATGCGACGGCTGCCACAGGACAACGGCGCCAGTGCGCTCACCACACATCAGCTATTGGTGGAGTGGAGGGACAGTGATAGAGCCAATTCGGTGGAGAGGGGATGATTGGGAGGCCATGATCGTAAGGGCCGATAGAGGGACTTTGGCCAGGACACCGGGGTTACACCCCTGCTCTTTCACGAGAAGTGCCTTGGGATTTTTAATGACCACAGAGAGTCAGGACCTCGGTTTAACGTCTCATCCGAAAGACGCTTGCCAATCAGTGAAATAAACGACCAAATTATCAAATAATACCTGCCATGAATATTGCCGCATTCACCATCGGGAGGCGCTATAATCACTTTCATAGGAGAAATTTGCTTTCACCATCCAAAATAAATAAAGTTATTGAACATGTGCGTCCGATAGCTCTGCCCCTTTCCGCTACGTAAGCAAACCTGCAGTCGTTGATTGCATGAAGTGTCCATCATTATGTAACCCCGTCGGTCCTACGCCACCCAACCCGCTCCAAGCTGGTATCGAACCGGCAACCTTCCGCATGGGAGTCGGTTGCTCTAACAAGGAGGCTAAAGACCATGGCCTCTAGCATCGGTCACTAGACACCTTTAGAGGTCAGAGGAGTGATGTTTACCTGCACAGCTCTCACTAGCTGGCCTCCGTTACACACACCCCCCTAAACCTCACTCCTGTCCGGGTCACGGCACCAATGTAACCCTGCCGGTCCTGCGCCACCCAACACGCTCCAAGCTGGTATCGAACCGGCAATCTTCCGCATGGGAGTCGGTTGCTCCAACAAAGAGGCTAAAGACCATGGCCTCTAGCGTCGGTCGCTAGAGCTCCTTTAGAGGTCAGAGGAGTGAGGTTTACCTGCACAGCTCTCACTAACTGGCCTCTGTTACAATTACACACTTCATTTTAGTGGCTGAATGAGTGCAACATCCGGGTAATTAAAGTGCACTTATTATTTTTAGAGTTTTCAGTGTGAACACACTACTTACAATATTAATACTACAAAATGGCTTAGAATAGTGCATAAGTATGCGATTTGGGGCGCAGCTATTGGCTTTTACAGTTAGCTTAGCAAAGCCTACAGCAAACAAAGTTAGGGGGCTACAAAAAAATACATACAGGTGAATGATGCCATAAACCCTTCAGATTATGCACATACAAACTGCGCAGCGAAGGGGCGTGGTCAGAAACGATGTAATGTTATAACAGAGATGCATCCTCTCTGTTATACTCTCTACTAGCTGGGCTTCCAGCTAACTCTATCAAGCCTCTTCAACTGCTCCAGAATGCAGCAGCACGAGTGGTCTTCAATGAACCTAAACGAGCACATATCACTCCGCTGCTAGTCCGTTTGCACTGGCTGCCAGTTGCTGCTCGCATCAAATTCAAAGCTCTGATGTTTGCCTACAAAGTGACTTCTGGCCTTGCTCCTTCTTATCTGCTCTCACTTCTGCAGATCTATGTGCCCTCCAGAAACTTGCGTTCTGTGAATGAACGTCGCCTCGTGGTTCCATCCCAAAGAGGGAAGAAATCACTTTCGCGAACACTCACGCTTAATCTGCCCAGTTGGTGGAATGAACTCCCTAACTGCATCAGAACAGCAGAGTCACTCGCTACTTTCAAGAAATGACTAAAAACTCAACTATTTAGTCTCCACTACACTTCCTAATCTGCAATTGCCTCTCTGAATATCACACTACCTGTACCCCAAAAAAAAAAAATACTAATACTACTAATACTTCCCTTCTTAGACTTTACAGACCTGAAACTTGCCTATAGCACTTATTCATTGTTGCTCTTAGTTGTGTAAATTGCTTCCTTGTCCTCATTTGTAATTCGCTTTGGATAAAAGCGTCTGCTAAATGACTAAATGTAAATGTAAATGCATCCTGATGAAGCAGAGCTGATATGTAAATCACAGCATATTATGTTAGAAGACCAATCAGAGGCTCTTGAGGGTGGGTCTTCAGAGGAACTAGGAAATATGACAGTCATTTTCATGTTAGCTGAGTAGCTGTATATAATCAAAGTTGGATATTTGAAATAATGACAGGATTTTCTACCAATGAAGCATGAGCACACATTGCTTTGCATCTTATAAACACAACCAAGCCAAACTGGACCACCCCTTTAAGTTTTTTGTGAGATAATATAACAATTGTTTATAATGACATCTAGCCTGCCTGTATCATTCATACTACATAGAAGAAAAAAAACTTTTCTAACAGTCCTGCAGTAAATTCAAAACGAAATATAGTTCCTACTAGAGTAAAATGTAATTTTAGATGCAGCTCTATGCAGTATGAGTATGCAGTATTACACAACCTGAAAAGAAGTCACTACAAACCAATGAGATTTCAGTTGGTTAACGTTAACCAATCACTTTGCACCTATGTTGTGTATATTGATATATTGATTGAAAATGTATATTTTGCCTCTGAAAACTTAACATAATGTGCCATGTCACAAGACTGAAATCATCTCAAACTGTTTTTCTCTCTGAACATGACTGAGTTAACTGAACTCTAATGACTTCACAACCCACATTCACCAGATTTCAACCCAACATAGCACATTTGGATTGTGCTGGAATGGGAAATTCAGATTACTGATGTGCAGCTGACAAATCTGCAGAAACTGTGTGATGCTCTCATGTCAATATTGACTAATATCTCTAAAGAATGTTTACAGAACCTTGCTAAATATGTGCCACATAAAACTGAAGCCATTCTGAAGGTATAAGGGGCATCCAGCCTGGTACTAGCAATGCATACCTGGTAATATATGACTGGAACCATTATTTCATTAAAATAAACCTTTTTTTCAGGATGGTTATGATGCATATAATATTTTATTTGCACTTGGTAATATTTTTAAAGATGTAAGTAAGTTTAAAAATCTATACTTTGTATTATATCATCTTTGCATCAAATGACAAAAAACAATACAAATACAATAATTAAAAATTATGTGCGGTGCTTCTAATGCAGTGGCAATGGGTAGAACAGTAAATTTGACATTGTTCTCTCTTCAGGCTGCTGTTATCAGTCTCACTTCATTTTTTTTTCTAAAAATCTTGATAACACCATAAAGTTTTTCTTTAATTATTTGAGCAAATAGGAACACAAAAAAATTATTGGTTTTAATCTCCCATTCACTGCACTTTGCTAACACAGCTATGACGACATCTGCTGTTGAAAAAACCATAAATATGAAAAGGGTGCATGGACATCATTAAAACAACAGTACTAGTCAATGCATTTATATGGAAAAAATGTGAATAAAAAATTACTGAAATAAATTAAAAGATAAAAAGCTCTTACAAAGATGTGTAAGAACTTGAGGATGCGTTTATGTGTGAGTATGTGGAGGACGTTCCCCGTTTCTGGATCAATGACAGGTAGCCGATGAATCTTGTTCTTCAGCAAAGAATATATGGCTTCGAAGAGGCTGTGATGAGAAAACACATTCATCTGTTACTAGAAAGATTGAAGAATAATGAAGGACAAAGTAGTGTAGAGATCCTGGTTTTACCTGGAGTCAGGAGCGATGCTAATCAGGGAGGTGACTGAATACTGTAGATAGGTCTCTGAAAGAGGGAACAAACACAAGTCTTTAAAACACTACCATGCATGTTGAATTGCTAATTTGTCCTCAACATTAAAGACAATCACCTCTCCACGTTTCAATCTTGTGTTCCTCCAGTTCATAGATTTGAACCTAAAATGGAATAAATGAAGGTGATATTTGTTCATATCATATTTCTAACTCTCCATTTATTAATTCATTTAGAATAGAAGTCTGTTATGCTTCTCAAGCTTGCATATTGTTTTTAAAAACAAATACACAGAAAAAAATTATACTGTGAAATTAATGCGTTTGACTCTTGCAATTCAATGCTCAAATTTCAGCCTCAGTACTCAAGTCTTCAGTGTCACATGATCCTTCAGAAACATTTATAACATCAAAAATGTTAGTTTGATCTATTCAATATGTCCTTTCTGAATAAAAGTTATAAATAATAAAATATTAATCTAAAAAATCTTGATATAAAAGCAACTTTTATATAGTAGTGTATAGGTTAATAGTTATCTAGTTGTCCATAGATTAGTCGTTTTGTAAACTGTTCCACAAATTCTATTTTTATATTTGATTTTCTTGCGGCATTTTGGAAAATATTATAGGGCCGATACATACTGTAATACATTGCTGAAGTAGTGATGCAAGCTTAAAGTGTTACAATCTTTTTTATTAAATATATATAAGTGTTTTTCAGTAATATTCAGTACAAACTTTCAAAACTATTCCCAGTATCTCTTACATATAAAGACACAGTGTGTAATTTTCACCACAAGAGGGTGCATATTCACAACAAACAAAGACGTATTTTAATAAGATGGTGACATATTTGAAAAGCATGAAAAAAAAATTATTCAATTCAAAGTATTCAATTATGTTTATTGTCAGGTAAATATGCTAATATAATATGTATAAAAAGTAGGTGACTTGCAAACCGAACTCCTAAAACAAACTAATAACAGATCAAAACGATAGCTAATATCTTGGAATTTGAACATTCTTTGAAACATTTGGCATAATGCAAGTGCATGTGCCAGTAAATTATATGTTGTAAATTAAGTTTTTTGGATATTTAAATGAATAAGCCTCACATATTTTGACTTTAATTTTAGAAAGAGAAATATTTAATAACGAGCGATGCAGTGGTGGAGTAGGTAGTGCTGCCGCCTCGCAGCAAGAAGGTCGCTGGTTCGAGCTGGGTCAGTTGGCGTTTATGTGTGGAGTTTGCATGTTCTCCATGCATTCGCGTGGGTTTCCTCCGGGTGCTCCTGTTTCCCCCACTGTCCAAAGACATGCGGTACAGGTGAATTGGGTAGGCTAAATTGTCCGTAGTGTATGAGTGTGGATGAATGTGTGTGGATGTTTCCCACAGATGGGTTGCGGCTGGAAGGGCATGCGTTGCATAAAACCATGCTGGATTTTTTTTTCCGCTGTGGCGACCCCGGATTAATAAAGGGACAAAGCCAAAAAGAAAATGAATGAATGAATGAAATATTTAATAACATCAAAAATGTTCATTTTAAAAAAAAAGTTATAAATAAAATATTATGAAGATAAAAAACAACTTTTGAACAGTAGTGTATAAGTTAATTTTTCCACAAATTCTATTTTTATATTTATTTTACTCTACATATAAGTGAATTTAGATGGGGCCCATACATTGCTATTGTAGTGGTGCATGTCACAAAGTGAAGTTTATTCATAAACAAATTTCGAGAGGATCACGTGCTTATGATTGTTCACAGCTGTTACAACTTTAGCTAATGACTGATTATCCTATCAGACGATCCTTAACTCACTATAAATAACCAGACTTGTCTCATCTCAATATCTTCGTCTTGAAGAAACCCCCCCACCCAACCCTACTTTCCCTCCTTTCAAACGGGCGTCACGGTGGCCAGCAATTAGCGCTGTTGCCTCACAGCAAGAATGCCCCTGGTTTAATTCCTTTCCAAACCAGATGGCATTTCTGTGCGGAGTTTGCTTGTTCTCCCCGTGGTCGCGTGGGTTTTCCCCGGATCCTCCGGTTTCCTCCCACAGTTCAAAAACAAGCACTCTAAACAATTAATCAAAATACATTAGTTAAACTCTGAGTACACCTTTCAGCATACATATCCGACACTTAGCTACTACAAGCAGGAAGGGGAGTCATCGAGATCTACCTGAGCTCAAACTCCCCTCTCGCCTTGCAACGGGAGGGAGCCCAGGGCTCGAGGATCTTACAAGCTCAGGGCTCTCTCCCGGGACAGCACGCCAAACTAGCTTTACTATCAATCATCAGCTAAGTGTGAACTCTTGAAAGCTTAACGTGTTACAACCTCTTTCTTATTAAATATACATAATATTAGTCATTTTCAGTAATATTCTGTACAAACTATCAAAACTATCCCCAAGTATCTGTGAGGGTGTGCATTCAAAACAAACATAGGTGTATTTTGAATATTTTAAAAAGCAAGCAAAATGTATTAATTTATTTTATTTTTTTTTGTCAGGAAAATATGATGTATTCACAAAATGGGTGCTTTGCAAACCAAATTCCTAAATCAAACTAATAACAATTTTAAAACGTAGCTTATTTCTCTGAATTTGAACATCCTTCAAATTATTTGGCATAATGTAAGAGCAGTGAGTAAAATCAATAGTGTTCTTTGGATATTTTAATAAATAAATCTTACATAAGGTGACTTTAAATCTAGAAACAAAAACATGCTAGTTTACCAAAGGAGATTTGTAGTAACGATGGAGAATGTTGATAAAGTCCGTAATGGTGAGCATCCCTGCAAAAGACACAAATAGCACAGAACATAAACGTGAACACGCAGCTTTAAACTCAATTCAATTCCACATTCGGATTCAACAATTTATTCACCCAAGCCCATCTAAAATTGACCAGACAGCTCTGCATTTAAATGAAGTCATTAAGCAAATCACAGCTTGAAATTAAAGTATCAAGGAGGCTATCATTAGCATAAACATACTAAATGTCACTATGCACTGAAACAGGAACGTGCTCCTGTGCCCAGGTTTCCTTTCAGTAGGAGGATATGCTTTCTCATTAGCATGGCTATTATTACTCCCAGAGAAGGTTCAGGGGATTAGAGCTCTACCCTGCCATTTCCCACCAGACACCACGGCACAGAAGCCACGCTAAACTTAGACACTGACACTGGTGGAGAAGATGAGGTGCTGAGTATGATCAATCAAAGCTGTGTCAGCACACGCATTCATGTACAGTGTGTATACATAACCAGATACTTGTACAGTAATGCTTTAAATGGCTTTTATAATGTTTTTTTTCCCGAAAATCAATTAAGCTCATTAGGATTATTTGTTAATTCACTAAGTATTTATTTGATAAAAATGAAAATAAACACAATAATAATGTGAAATATCATTACAATTTAGTAAAAGTATTTTTATTAGATTTTTTATTTTTATTTTAGACAAAACAATGCTAAATACACAATTGTGTTGGCTAAAATGAAAATTGTTTTGGTCAAACAACAACAAAAAAGACTTCTTTTAAATTGTAATCAAATTTCACATTATTACCGTGTTTGTTTTCACATTTGTACTTCTAAATTTAATTTCACAAGCATAAAAATGCTATATTTAGTGAAATAACTTCACTGATTCTAAAATCACTTAATGATAAGAAGTTCAAAGAACAGTCTTGACATGAAAACCATTTTACGAGAACTATATACAAACACACTTTGATGAATCACCTTCTAATGAAACTATTCATTCAATAAAATATCTTTGCTGTCATACATGTAGATATTATTAACTTATATTTAACCAGCTATTTAACAGGAATTTTATAAAATGTTGCTAATTAAATATTATCAAACTGTTTAAAATTGAATAAGAGTTGCCATTTTTTATTGAAAGAAAATAACATTTTAATACAATACAACAATAAACAGTTTCCCTCTTAGAGATATACATTTTTAAAAAGCAATAGAAGATTGTATAATTGATCAATAATGCAGAGTGACAAGACATTAAAAATGTATTATTAATGTATTATTATTAATACATAATTAATAATATAAAATATTAAAATATAAAATATGAATAAATATGAATAAATATTAATTTTTAAATATAAAATATAGCTTTTTAAAATAATTAATAATGAATTATTTATTGATAAAATTGTTTTCCTGACCACACAATGACCAATTTTTTATATATATTTTTAAATGGCTCACTCATAAAGGTCAACTGTGTTTGCTAAAAGGTTACAAATATTTTTGTGTATGAAGAAACAGTACACACAAACATACTCTGTTACACACAAACAAATCATGTCTTTAATCTAAAGTCACTTTCGACAAAACATTGTCATAATCACTGAGAATGCAAAGTAATCTCATCTAGAATTATAACATGTCCGAGGGTTAATGATGAATTAGCAGTTACTGAATATGTTCGCTCAATAAAATAACAATAAAAAAAACAGCTGTATTAGTGGGGACTAATTATGCCCTGCATTCAAAAGCTCAACAGAAATGTTGGAAACCTGTAACCACTGACTTCCATAGTACTTGTTGTTAGTATATTACTTTTATTTGGGGAAAATAATTTAGTTTAAATAAAAAAAATAAAAAAACTGCTTCCTTAATATGAGCTAGATTTGAAATTTGCCATCTGAACACACGCATGCACACACACGCATGCACACACGCATGCACACACACACGCACACACACACACACACACACCACACACTATAGTAATTTTGTCTTTGCAAAATATGAGTATCCATAGATAATACCACAATTTTTAATTATTACTGTTGTTGTTATACAAGATTTTTAATTATTTGTTCAATAATAAAATTAAATAAAAATTAAAAGCTTTTTTTTTTTTTTTTTTTTTAAACAAATCCAACAGACTGACAAGACGCCATTGAAAACTACCGACATGTATTATGGATGTCAATGGTTACAGGCTTTGAAAATTCTTCAAAATATCTTTAAAGTGAATGATGACCCAATTATTTTTAGGTTAACCATTTCTAATGCTCCAGACGGATACTTTGTTCCTTTCACTTTAATCATAACAGTCATTAGTAATTTAGTTTAATGTAGCAGAGGCATTTCTTGTCCCCTTACCTTGAACTTAAGACATTTAAAAAAAAAATTTTTGATTGTAGAAAAAAACATTTAAAATTTAACATGAAAATACACTTTTTTACATTTTAACTCTTCCCCCCCTCCCTCCCTCAAAGCATCCAAATTCAGTTGAACAGGTACTGTATGTATTGTTATACATGGGCTAAGGCAAAGAAAAACATACTGTATTCCAGGTACAAAAATACACATATACACATATCAATCAATTAACCAGCAGCATGAGAGGTATTTGCTTGTACCATTGGATAGTTCTGTTCCAAAAATTGTATGAACAGATCTCAATTTTTACAGTCTCTTTTAATTTGCCCTTTATACTGTAGGTGATTCTCTTCAGTGAAATATAATGTGTCAAATTTTTTAGCCAGTGGTCAATGGATGGACTTTCTATGTTCTTCCAATAGAGTGCTATCAAACGCCTTGCAATTACAAGACATATATCAATCATTTTAGTTTGATAACCTGGTAATGACAAACTTGCAGGAAATAAACACTTAAGGCATTTTTAATTTGGGTGAAATCTTTTAAACTGCATTTCATGATTTACTCTGTGCTGATGCTACTGTTTACTCAAAAGCAGTGAAGAATCTGTTAAAATTTTGTATGATATGCAGAAAATCATATCAAATATCATCTACAAATTTCTTATCCCACATTTATCAAAACTCAAAATCTGGTTTTATAGGATTGCATGTCCTGAATCTTTTGGCATATGCTGTAAATCCCGCTTGCTTTTCTTAGATTTATAGGTTAAGATATTGTTGTGACATTATAAGATTTCAGTAATCTGATGCAGGCTTGCAGCGGGGCCAGTGACACATTTGTCAACAGACTTGGAATTACTCAATCTTTTGCTCACCTACAAAACACTGCAGCTTGTCGTCCCACAAAGGTGCCGCTCTCACCCCGTTTGCAACAAGAGCGAAGAATGCCTTCTTCACCTGCACACATCATCACATATTTCAGCAATTGCGCTCTGGAAAGGGTGTGAATATTTTTGTTGCAAGTCAATCTACTCAAAGTACAGGACGTTACTTAAGCACTTAAGCAGGTGTCTGGTTTTATTCCTGGAGGGCCATGATTCAGCAGGACTGAGCACTAGAAACTTTTAGGCAAGTGTTTTGGAAGTGGACTGAACAATCGTGACATGAGTTCACCTGCAGGGTTGTGTCAAAGACCACAAGTTTGGAGCTGGTTGGAATGGCATCGTAGCAGCAGTGACTCATGAAGAACTTGGCATACACATCAGCATCAGGGTCTTGGAGAGGGCCTAGAGAGGGAGACAGAGAGGGAGACCCCTGCTGCAGGTCGGTCAGTCTGCTGACAAACTCTAGTCCTGATACATGTTTACTATCTTATGAACAACTAACTTCGCTAATGAAGCTCAAGATGTTTAACCCCCAAGCATCTTAGAGGACTTTTCTTTGGGTGAAATCATTTAATTTAGTTTTTTAAGTAACTTCCTTAATCTGAGCCGGTTTGAACTTGGCTGGTTTTTGAAGGTTTACCATCAACACAAACGCACACACACACTCGACTTCATCAAAGTTATGCTGTAAAATACAAAGTTTATTTTGTCTTTCTGCTAAAAATATGCATTATTTATTATTATACAAGCTTTTAAAATATTATTTGTCCAATAAAAATTAAATGTAAAACATTTTTTTTATTTGTGCACAATGGCAAAAAAAAAAAAACTGAATCGCTATTTACTTTTTGCTGTTATTTTTGATATTCTGAGATTTTTTCACAATCATAAGACACCAGATTTTAAATATATATATATATATATATATATATATATATATATATATATATATATATATATAGAGAGAGAGAGAGAGAGAGAGAGAGAGAGAGAGAGAGAGAGAGAGAGATTTTATTTTAGAAAAGTGATATGGTATTTGTTAAAAAAACATGTAAAAAATGGGATCATATTGTACCCGATACCTTTGTGCCCAAAAGTGTCCTCATTAGAACAATTAGAGGCTACAATGCAAAGGATGGTTGAGGGTTAATTATTTTATTAAGAAATCGTTCAATCTTGTTCTTTAAACAGAAAGGAGATTTATTGTTATTGAAGACTGTAAAGAGCAATACAAAAAACACAAAATAGATTTTTGTGACAAAAACAGTTAAAAAGAAACATGTTAATTCCAATATATGTCAGGTAGAGGATTTTTATAACTATACAGAACTGCACACAGCTCTTTAAAAAGGATCCATTTGGAAAAATTTGCCACCATATATCTGTGCCACCACATTTGAGAAGGGTATAAACGAAAATTCTAGGTCCAAGTGGGTGGGCCTTCAAGCTCCAAGTAGGCTGGAGTTTTTAGTTATTTAATGTCTTGTACATGACACAAAATCCACTATTGTGCTTTATTAATGTCTACACCTACCCCAACCCTAAACCCACCCTCAGAGTAACCTGACGTGTTTTATTAATATCTGCTCCACCTACACCATCTAAACCCAGCCTACTTTTGATTTAAGTCCCTCCCACTTGGAGGTCATCCAACCTATCTGTGGTGTAATCCCTTCCATTTAGAGGTCTCTGGGCTGCAGCAATACCTACTTGCCCCATTTGGTGAACCTTAAGCCAACCAAGAAAATTTTGTTTAGGACTTAATGACAAAAACAGGAATAAAATAATAACAATAATAATAAGTTTAGTAATTAAAAACGAAAATACAACTAGCAAAACACATGTGTCCAAAGAATTTTGGCCTCTGCCATTATCTTTTTAACCTTATAAACTTACCCTTATTAAAAAAATCTTTTCTTAGTAATAATTATTTTGGTAAAATTTCGATATTGGCTGTTTATTGTTTTATTATAAAGTATACTTACGCTGCATTCCTAATACAACCCAACACCTAAACCCAACTACTACCTAATACATATTAATAAGAAGTAGTTAAAAGTCTTGGTTAATGTAATAGCAAAAATTGTACTAGTTTAATAATCAAAACTGGGAAAGCCCCAGGAGCACCAACATATAGGGTCTTTCTCATTACTTCTAATAATCATTTTAAAAATCAATGTCAGTATCGGATATTTTCATAAGCTACACATCCACATGTTTTAAATGTTTCATATAAAAAAGGAAAAAATTAACAACACTTAACTTAAGCTAAATTTGAGACTGTTGCTGTTGTAAAAAAAAAAAAAAAAAAGATACTGATAGATACCTGTCCTCTTCATGGTGAGCCCCTCATCCTCCATAAAAGGGAACTAAAACACAAAATAAAGATTTTAACTAAGGAAACAGGATAAAAAAAGCAGTCCAATGAAGTGGAGAAGACATGGCATGATCTTACGTAGCTTGTACTTTAACCTGCTTGAAATCATCAGCATCAGAGTCAGCTTGCCGAGCATTTGGTCACCGTATTTTGTTTTTGTAACTAAGTTACAGTTACTGATTAAACAACAGTTAGTTCCAGTGCTTGAATTTGATTGATTGTTCTGTTGCCGGACACACAGGGGAGATGCATTTACAATGATTAAGCCATGTAAACTTTCATTTACATAACACGACTCGGCTCCTTAATCGTGTTACTTCGCAGTAATTGAAATTCTTCAGTGATTCATTATGCAGGTAATACAGAACACCAGCAGAGGGCGATAAATCACTGAATCCTTCATTTAACCCAGAGCTTCAAAAACGTTCAATTATTTAAATGATGGTATGGACAATTTACTTTAATATAGGGAAAAATATAAACCAATCAGCTCAAAAGTGTGTCTGCAATCAAAGACACAAACTTATTTGCTAAACAGTTTAAAATAAATGAATAAATTAATAACTAAAGCACACTAACAATAATGCCACAGGTCTGAATAAAACCATGGCGGTATTAGATTTTTCACTTCACATTTCCAAAAGAATTGCAACAAAGAATATTTTATTGTTGCCATGATGACAGTACATAATATTTGACTAGATATTTTTCAAGACACTTCTATACAGCTTAAAGTGACATTTAAAGGCTTAACTAGGTTAATTAGGTTAACTAGGCAGGTTAGGGTAATTAGGCAATTTATTGTATAACAATGGTTTGTTCTGTAGACTATTGAAAAAAATATATACCTTAAAGAGGCTAATAATTTTGACCTTAAAATGATTCTTAAAAAATGAAAAGTTGCTTTTATTTTAGCCGAAAGAAAACAAATAAGACTTTCTCCAGAAGAAAAAATATTATCAGAGATACAGTGAAATTTGTATTGCTCTTTTAATCATCTTTTGGGAAACATTAAAAAAAGAAAAAAAAATTCAAAGAGGGCTAATAATTCTGACTTCAACTGTGTATAATGTACCTTGGTATTTTCTGATTCCACTACTACAAGAACAATTATCCAATTCTGTATTTAAACCATAATTATCATCAATACCATTTCATTGCGAAAACTCCAGTCCAAATGAAGAGTTCAGATGCAAAATCTCCTAAAATGAGCATTTTTTCAGCCTCCTACGTTTATGATCAGTTGTTTTCCTTTAAATGCAATGAAAAGACCTTATTTGTCACTATAAAAGTAAAAATTACTGAGCCTACACAGAGGAGTCACAGGAAGAAAAATGCTCATTTTAGAAAAAAATTTTAAAACAGCATTTAGAGGTTTTTGCATCTAAACTCTTCAAGTATTGCCTGCAGTCTTATGACAAAATATAAACTAAATTGAATGTAATATTCTTCACATACTGTACTACCAATAAGAGCTGCATGATATAAGAAATATTTAACATTGCGATTTTTTTATTTTTATTTTGTGATAAATATTGCCTTATGAATACAATTTCACCAGATGACTTAATATCATTATTCGGAAAGAACTTATAATGTTAGAACGATTGGGATGACTCTGCAGTAGAAGTACATCTCCTTAAAATCTAATAAAAATAAAAAAAACGACAAATTTTGTTGTGGTCTGTGCTATTTCGCAGTGCATTTCTGCATTTTGTGAGTATTTTTATGCATAGCAATCTATAAATACTATCAAGACAAAGATACAAATAAAATATCGTTTACCGAGTCTAATGATTAAAATAAAAATAATTTAATAAAATGAATCGTAGTTAAGGTCACAAACTGTACAATCTTTTATACCTGAATGCTTTTAAAATCATACAATCACAGGCATCAAAATACATGCAACTGATGAATTATAATACAAACTCAACATTGCCTATCCTCCGATGTGACTATTGCGGATGATCACATTGCCATATCGATCCTGAAACGATATATTGTGCAGGCCTCATAACAATATATATTTTTGAAGATCAAAGAAATGATTTGTTCACGTGCAGTTCATAGAGCTCTTCTTATTCTACATATTTATCCTGCACCAAGTCTCAACTCTGCAATTCGTTGTTGTTTTTTCAACAGGAAATGCACATGTAGTTAATTATTATTAGAAATAATGTTTTCGTGCTACCTACTGTATCTCAAGCACACATTAAAGTTGATCTCCACAGAGGCCTTGTCACTGTGCACTGCTCAGACTATCCAAAAATAACCTCAAACATAAACAATGTGCAAAGCAACCCGAAAGACTTGTTATTCTTAATGTATGTTATCTGTTAAATCCACTGTTTGACAACCAACATTGACACTTGCCTGACGAGGGAGGAGGGGGGCAGTTTGTTTATTGACTTTTAGTTCTTTTAACATCAGGAACCATATAAATTTAAAGCTGATACAATAATTTGTTCATATGCAATCAGCTGGCTGAAATGTTCCCGGATTATGACTGACTGTATGTATAGTTTGATCTCAGGGTCTTACCTCTGTCAGAGGGTCCATGGTTTGGGGTCCCAGCATTAGCCGAATGCGTTTAGTGTTCGATCTGTCCTGAGCCGAGCATAACTTCAGCTGTGCTCCTGTCGCTGTGTGAAGAGTGTGGTCTAAATCAGGAGAGAAGCCGGCCCAGGCATGCAGAGGGCTGGACACAGAATGGGGGGAGGAGAAAAGCACTTGTGGCTGTGTATACACGCAAAACTTTTGTAAATAACAAAAACGCTGTATATATAAGGTGAATTCTGTATGGATATATCTCTCTGTGAGAATACAGATGAGTAAATCTGTGCAGTTTGTTGTATGGAAGAGCAGCTGAAGTATGAATATTTACATGTATATAAATATTTATGGCTCAGTACGGAAGAAAATAAAAAAGCTTTATAAACACAATTTAATTAAAACCTAAAGATAGTAACTGATAAATTGCAACAAAATAAGTGATTAAAAGTTTATTTAGGATATTTTAAATTGGAATAAAACACAAAATGATTTTACATGCAGTGTCTCACCTTATGGCCTTTCCAGTATAATAGAAAGCATCCAAAAATTGCTTTTAAGGTTTTTTTTTATTATTATTGCTCTGATACTCTTATCTTAACACATATAGCCTGTTTTCTAAAGATTTTATTTCCTCTACTTATAAAATCTCCAATTCTGCGGCACTAAAAGCAAATTGTACTTTTTTTTATTCATTAGGCCTATTTATAATCTTAAGGTTTTTACAGAGATAATTTCACATATATATATCACAGAGATAATATTTATATATATATATATATTTATATATATATATATATATATATATATATATATATATATATATATATATATATATATACTTATGGACCTGCCAAAAACCAAATTATTTAATTAAGCAAAAAACAAAAAATGTAACGTAAATAACGAAGTATAAACATTTTTTTTTTTTTATGGAAAACCAAGATGTTTGCAAAAAAGGGAGCGTGATAGCTTTTTACCCTAAAATTAAAAGATCTCAGACAATCGGTTACCATTAGTTCAGAAAAATATCTTCATTAATTAATGACAACAAAGCAATTGTAGGCTCGGATACTGCTTTTTTAATTTTAGGTAATAAGGCCGCATTGCGCTTCATTGTGCTTGTAAACCTCTTAGGTTTGTTACAGGCAGCTGGTGTTTTCCCATAAATGTGCTGCTTTGAGTGGTCCCAGATAAATTAATTACTTTTAGCTAGTGAGAACTTTTAGCCTCACACACAACCACGCCACACAGGAATGCGATTTACCTTATTTGTATGTGGATATGGCGTGTCACCCTCAAATGCGACTGCCTACGTAATTTCCCGCGAAATCCGTCCCGACTGCTCTAACTTCATTTGTTCGTTTGTTTGGTAACATTTGAATTAAACATGTTACCTTTGCATTGTGCGAATTTGTTCCAATAACAAAACATTATTTTGAAAATTTTTAGAGAATGATATTAGAAAACTAGGATGAGCTATTGATATTTTTATACTTGACTTTTTTTTTTTTAAGAATAATGTTTTGAAAAGCGAGAAACTTGTATTCAGCTATATTTATTTCTATGAAAATATCATATGCATAATAAGAAGTGGAAGTGGGTTCTTCGCAAACCTATACTCCTAAAACAAACAACAAAAATGCAGCTTAAAATAAAAATTAATAAAAAAATAAAAGAAAATTTATGCAGCAAACGTACACACACATACACTACGGACAATTTAGCTTACCCAATTCACCTATACAACATTCTTTGGACCGAAGCACCCGGAGGAAACCCATGCCAACAAGGGGAGAACATGCAAACTCCACACAGAAACGCCAACTGACCCAGCAACCTTCTTGCTGTGAGGCGAACGTGCTTTATATATATATATATATATATATATATATATATATATATATATATATATATATATATATATATATATGCGTGTGTGTGTGTTTGTATGTATATATATATATATATATATATATATATATATATATATATATATATATATATATATATATATATACACACACACACACACACACACACATACACACACACACACAGTTGAAGTCAAATTATTAGCCCTCCTGTTTATTTTTTTCCCCAATTTCTGTTTAATGGAGGGAAGATTGTTTCAGCACATTTCTAAGCATAATAGTTTTAAAAACCTATTTCTAAAAACTGATTTATTTTATCTTTGCCATGATGACAGTAGATCATAATTTACTTGGCATTTTTCAAGACACTTCTATACCGCTAAAATTGACATTTAAAGGCTTAACTAGGTTAATAAGTTGAAGTAGGCAGGTTAGAGTTATTAGGCAAGTTATTCTATAACTGTGGTTTGTTCTGTACACTATCGAAAAAAAATTAGCTTAAAGGGGCTAATAATTTTGTCCCAAAAATTGTTTTAAAAAATTTCAAAACTGCTTTTATTCTAGCTGAAATAAAACAAATAAGACTTTTTTTTTAGAAGAAAAAATATTATCAGACATACTGAAAAAAATTTCCTAGCTGTCAAACATCATTTGGGAAATTTTTAAAAAAGAAAAAAATCAAAAGGGGGCTAATAATTCTGACTTCAACTGTATATATATTTAAGGAATACCAAAGCTTTTTAAGAGATTTAAGCATGCCATTATTTTAACCAAATATATTGCATGATTTTTCCATAAAGTCTAGATAAACAACAATTTTGGAAATTCTTCTCAAGACTATGGGATGCTTTTAAAAGAAGCCATAAACCAATCCTGAAACGATAATTTACATTTTTTACTTTATTTTAAATCATCTTAAGTGATCATTTTTGGAAGTCTAAGGTCCCTGGACCTCAGATTAAAGACACAGTATGTCATTTTACAGCTAGAGGGTATTTCTAACAAACATTTTTACAACAAAAGGCATAGTTTGATGACCCCATGACTGAGTGTGGAATCATAGGAGTTGTCATCTTCATTACATCCTACACAGGACTCCTGCAGAAATCATGTTCATGGATTGGATAAAGTATTCTAATCTTATGGCCATGGCAGTATAAAGCAGAGTAAAGCTGAAAGCCATTAAAGTGCAGAAAACGATTGCTGATGAGCGACGAGTGCAAGCAGCACGAAAGCAGCAGAGAGTTTAACATCCAGTCTAGTGCATTCAATTCTTCAGCGCATGATCACCTGGGAAAGAAAGTGCTGTGTTTTATCATACTTAATACATTTTAGGATTATGTTATAATATGCATCTCTGGTCTTTCCCTGCTTTTTATTAGCATGACGACACAGGACACGGCTCTTAGCACTAGTTAAATTTACTTAACTATTCTAAACATCTGAGAACATGCAAGTACATCATCAAGTCAAGAGGTAACCTAATTTGAATAAAAAACATCATACGTAAATATTGTGACTTTAAGAACAGCTGTTGATTTTAGAGTAACAGTAGGAGCAACATTAATGAGAAGTAAACCCGCTGTCAGTGTTTAGTTATGACCATACACACTACTCAAGTAGTGAATCTGCCTCTTTGAGACTATTCCTGTAATCCACCCATGCAGTTGAAATTCCAGTCAGCCAAGTACTTGTTGCATTAAACAGTTGTTATATTCTGAAAATAATCACAAGAACAAGTGTCCTAATATTCTCCACACATTTGAGGACCCAATAAGATGCATGAAAGAATGACACGCTCGTATTTCAAACAACAACTTTAATTTAAAAACTTGAACCTGAGCATGTTGTCTCCATGGAGAAGGGCATGCAGATGTCATTAACAGACATGAGACAGTGACTTTTTATTTTCTTTTTTTTTTTTTTACAATATTGATTTTTTTGCAAACTTTACATTTCATTCCACACGTTAAAAATAATCAGCCCAACAGATGCCTGTACTGTACACAGACATGTGATGTAAACAAAGCAGAAGTATCAATAGGCTCATAGCATAACACAATTGAAACCCCAAACAGGAAGCAAATAGAACTTCTACCACCCACATGTGCTGTGAATACACACCGCAGTGTGGTCTGGCAACAAAATCCTTGTTCAAAATATGGGTTTTAACGCCCATTCATCTGGCCAGTTAATCTGTTAGATCTGCTTTCTGGTCTTGAAGGCAGAAATGCTCAACTCTTGAGATGTGGCATGAATACACACGCCTTGGAAGCTCTGAATGTCTAGGTTTATCTGGGTCGAGGTCAAAGGTCATCATGAGAGTGCAGGGTGTCGCTGGCCAGGCTGGAGCTGGAGGTTGGACTGGGGCTCAGGCTGACAGTACTCAGTAAACTCATGTCTGGAAGACTCATGGTGACCGACTGAAGTTCGCGATCAGACAGGTCTTCATCTTCGGCGTCAGATCTCTGACTGACAAGAACACTGAGGGAAAGAAAGAAAAGGAGGATCAGCTCACATCTTGTACATGAAAATGTCTTATGGATCAATGTGGGAGGGTTTTATGTGCGTGCCCATACCCAGATCTAGTCAGCTGAGATCTGTGTCCGTGATATGATTTGGAAGACCACTGTGAATAAAAGCAGAAGCATACAGGAAATAAACAAAATAGTTTAAAAATCAAATATTTTACTATGGAACAGGGCTATGGGATTAATTGAAATCTTATCGAAATCGCAATTTGGACATTACAGTATGATTTTCCCGCAGTATGCTATTTGAACAAATCATAACGCAGCGTGCCTAAACAGGCCCAAGAACAGGAGACTGAATAGCCTGCGTATACAGGGATGATGAGTTTAGCACAGGACTTGGTGCCAAAAAAAGTCTAAATCTGTGGTATGGCATTAGGTTACTTTGGATACAGAAAGGCTTATGTATGGAAGAACCAGATAATTGGTAAGTTCGTCATATATTGTGTCTAAAATCGTGTGGAACGCATGTGGAACATGCACGTTCAACATTTTCAACGTGCTTTGCAGTCGCTCCATTGTCATTGCTCAGTGGCCATCAACCATTTTTTCAGAGAATGACAAACTAATAAAACACTGCGGCAGCTCTGATACAAGTTTCAAGTGTTGAGAGAATTAAAAAGCACTTGGTGTTCGGGTGTCTTGTGTTTGTCTGAGGGAACCGAAATGTGTATATTCCATACAAAGTATAAAGTTGAT